CTTTCCCTTATACTGGTTAATTTTTTTATTACTTTTAACTAAGAATGTATAGGCTGAAGGTAATTTTAAAGTATAATTCCGTCCGGAATGCCCAAAAGGCGTTCTGATTATTTTATTCTATTTCGTCGCATTTTACCAACCCCTGTCAGTTGTATTATATACTTTTGGATACTGAAGTATACATGTATGGACCAGCTGTAGCCAATTTGTTATCCAAGTATTGTTTCGAAAAAGGTTGTTTTTTTGCATATTGTAAATGAAAAATGACAAGAGCGAGCTCTCTGAGAGCCTTAAGTCAACTACGTATTATGTTCAATCTAGACTGAATACACTTAAACACGGACATCTAGTGCATCTATAGCATTGCCAATTGTCTAGGAGAAGGCCTATACTGTTGTAGTTCAGTCACAGTCACAGTGTACAGATTCTCTCGCCACAGTCTCGCTCTGTGGGATGTTCAAGTTGTGGTTTTCCTCTTTCATAGTCCGTCGACCCTCGTGTTTTGGCAACTACTTGTTTACTAGTTGTAACAAAAGCAAACTATCAGGGTTCCAACGTTAACCGTTGTGCAACAAAGCGATGATAACGTCAAATCGCCTGTGAGTTTAAATAGTTTTCAATACCATTCGATTTGATGGGAGGAATGGCATTAGTGCTAACGGGAAACGTTGTGAATTACAGCATATTCATTTACATTAAATGTTATTTACAATAGCATAGTTACATAAATTAAAGTAAAAGTCCATGTTTACAATTCATTACTTTCTGAGAACTATGATAATTGAATAAGCAGATCTGTTACATCTGGTCCACATGGTATAGAATATAGATGGTGTGATATCTACATCAGTATCCCACCAAATAATCAATGGTAGTATTTCCATGCAAAAAAGGTTTAATCCTTATTCAGGAAATTGTAGCTAGAAAAATACCTTAAAACTGTTTAATGGCAGCTTTTCGAGAGCGAGAAAATATAATTACCTGGAATTTTCTGTTGTCGTTTAAAGAAAATGACAGTTGATTGATTAGGCTCCTGACCGTCTTTCTTTGTATTCTACCTCAACCATCAACCAAAGGTGTATGACTAGCATATCCAAGTGACAACAAACATTACCATTCTTACAAATCCTAATAGACAGATTCTATGAAACCCAATATTTCGCTGACGTACAATAGCGCTAGTTCCTCGACCCTGTCAAACCAAAACATCGCAGGTTTGCCCAATCATGTTCTAAGTGTTGACTGTTATCAGAGTTACCTAACAACGCCTGGGAGTTTCCTGGTACTTCTGTTACTAAACGGAGGTGTTGGCATTGTTTTGGTATTGGCGTGGAAACTGGAACGGGACACACTGGAAAGTGTTTCATTACATAATATTGGGCTGAGCTGGTATATCTCAGTAAGTGGTATAAAACACGAGGCTGTTTTTATTGGAGATCCAGGTTAAAGCTTATGGCTGGCCGATGGCTAGAAGTTACAGTATGTAGTAATATTGTGAACCGGTGGTACGGAGTCCACCAGCTCCAACTATGCCCTATTCAACATTGCCATGAGTCCAGAGACGAAACTCATCAATATAATTCAGCCTGACGTTTTACATCCAGAGCTAATTTATTTGGACAGTTTTATGCGTGTTCGCGTCAGGAAGGTGTCAAAACAGCTGTTTACCCCTCCCTGCGATGACCACATAGGTGTGGGAACGCCATACACACCTGTCGTTTATAATTAAACTGTCAACGAGTGCATGGTATCGTTATTCATATTTGTGAGAAAATTGTGATTTGAACTCCTGAAAATACAGCCCAAATAACATTTTTAACTCTGGGTCTTTTGGGTATAGAAAATTGATCCCGGGATCAGGCGAAAATCCCAGTATTAACACGATACTAAAAGCTATAGTATTGAAAAATTCATAGAAACCCTATTGGATAGAAAAATCACCAGGGAAAAGCTATGGAAGTACTGTACTATTATATACTTTAATACAAGCTATGTCTATTTGTGATGGTGAAAATTGTATCTATGTTTTCGGGGAGCGAGCTGGCGTAGTGGTTAGAGCGCGGGACTTCAGTCCCTGAGGTCCCGGGTTCAATCCCCGTCAAGTCACCAATGGATGTTATCTAAGTGATAATGCCGCAACCCCTAGGTCTAGCCTAAAGTAATGTGAAAAACAATCCCAGGCTCGTGTCTAGCGTCCTAGAAAAAAAAAAATTCTGTGAGGGTGAAGATTTTATCTTAAATTTGGAATTGGGGACTTGTAGTCCTAAAAACTTGGATTGTTTAAGCCACTATCTCAGGAAAACTCATTATTTCGCTACACAACCCATTTGAAAACTATTTTAACATTGATTTGAAAACTATTTTAACATTGTCCTAATGGGTTGCCAAAAAATAGCTATGGCCTATGTTCGTTTCACAAAATAACAAGGAAAATGTGAAAAAAGTAACATATGATTATAAGAGCCATCGACAGTGAACTGACAAATTACACAATACAGAACGAAGGAAAACGCATTTAGTTTCTATTGAGCAATGATTTATTCGACATTGCGGGAAAATAGTTCTTTTCAATACTTATTATTTTACGTAACTATCTCCCACCAAAATTGTGTTCCCAAGTACCAAACAATTCTTTTCAAGCTTCCGTTTAACAATCAAATAAATAGTGAGGTAAATTTTGGTATAAGTTAGCCTTTGATCTGTTCATCTCTTAAAAAAACGGAAGTAAAAAATATACCAGTTAAAAGTATTTACTCTTACCAGGACACCATAGTTCGCCTTGACGGGAAACGGAGAACCTCTGGCCCTAATCCGCATATAAAAGTTAGGTTAGGTTAGGTTAGATAATATAAATATGGCCCCTGAATTTACGACCGGTGGCCGGGACCACAGATAATAAACTGGGACCCCTACACTCTACACTCCGCCTTGATACCGTAACAGGAAGCGGTTACGGCTATTTTATAAGCCGGGGATTGTTTCGTCTCGATATAAATATACTTCCGGCGTCACGTGCACAAGCCAATTTGTTTGTTGGTTTGTAAACAAACAACTAAACAAACAGCCGCTGCACGGAAGACTGCCATCAAACTACAGACAGTCGCGGGTATTTATACACGACACGACACTGACAAAGAATGTATTTATAGATGTCTGAAGTCAAACTGATGTATCTCTCTATTTATGATCTGACAGTCAGTTAGTTACAAATTGTATTTAAATTAACTGTTTGACCAATTTGTAACTATTTTGTTGTACGATCTTTTTTATCGTTGTTTTTTATAATATTCATTGGCTGTATCCATGGTATAATTATAATATATTTCAGGTACTGAACAATATTACTATTAAAACCGGCAGACACTCAAGCCATCTCGTTAGAAATTTTAAAACTACTTATCCACTTAAACTTCGTTCTGTGAGTTAACTATACGTAACATTACTCAAACCCCAAATATATTTTAGTTTTCTTCGAGATATCTACTATCAATTACATTTCCTTCCATATTGGAATATTCTGATGTATAAGGTTGAAGCTTTACAATAACATCACATATCTTCTTAGCACACACTCACTGTAACACTTACTTATGCACTTCCAATGACAAATATACTGTATCACAAAGTCATGCTGGATCAGGCTTCGCATCAAGCAAAGCGAAGAGTACAATAAGAAACTTTATTATAAATTTCAAGATCGGGACACGAAACCACGATATCACTGCTTTGGGGTTTCAGTCCGCCACAGTTTGAACGGAGCGACCCACTCAACTAAACATTTTTTTACCAATTTGCCAATTGAATTACCATTTCCTCCGTTTTCTACGTACTCGCCACCCATCGATCTCTGTTAATAATAGAGATCGATGTCGCCACCTCACATATGATTGCTACCGGCTGGTTGATTGTGTTATGTAAACTACACCCACGGATTCCCAATTTACACAGCACTACAGAAACACCCTGCCCCTATGGGGCTGGATAAATTAATTTCCTCCCACCTCATGCGTGACTTAGTTATAGATTTTACTCGTAGGGATGGTTTTAAGTTTCTGTTCACGTACTTCGTTTGTTTTAACTGTATGATTATTTCCTGAAATTAATCTCACAATTCATACATTATTAAATCAACTGATATAAACTTTTGTCAACCCCTTGCTACTGTCGGCCTTATTTTTCGTAGATAAATTTGCATGCTCCCACCCTTGCTCATTAATGCAGCTATTAAAATATAATATTTTTTCGTTGAGTTTTACATATAGTCATTTTTAATTTAATTCATGTTGCATGATGTTATGAACTTTGTTTTTCTTACATGCGGATTCTAGATGATTTTCATTATTTTTCACACTAACAGCGTTGCAAGAATATCTCAAATATACCTACTAACTACCAACATCAATATCTGAAATAAATCTACTAGGTACCAACACAAATATCTCAAATAAATCTGCTACTACTATTTCAATTTTTTCTCTCATTTAAACCAACTACCAATTTCATTTTCCTTACTAGCAGCTTCTATCAACCTTATTTCCTACATAATGCTACTTCCACTACTACCAACTACTTTTTTTACGAAGGTACTGGACTATTTTCCTCACTAAGACCACTAGGAACTTCATTTTAATTGCAACTATACAATTTCTGCAATTTTCTACATTTTATGTTTCTCACATAAATTATACTATTGACTTAATTTCCTATTCACCTATTGGTGGTACATCATTTGCTTCACATAGCCTACTAAAACTATAAACAACATCTGTCCCCCATATTGGGAGTAAACTGAATAGTGGTAGAGCGCAGGACTTCGTCTCCGAGGTCCCGAGTACAAATCCCGTCAATGAAGAATGGATTTATGAAAGATATAATGCCGCAACTGAAGTATTAAGTGTACAACAGTTTCAAGCTAGAGCAAAGAGCATACGTCCTAGGTAACGTCCTAGGTAGGGTGGGACAAGACAACAACATTAAGGTGATCTTTGTTATTGTTGCAGATATCCGTCTACAGTTGAACGAACAGTTGAGATGTCTGGACGGACGGATGGAGACCCAGGTCGCTCTGGTGGCAGAGCTACAGGACTTCTTCAGGAAACGCGCCGAGGTGGAACTGGACTACAGCAAGAACCTGGATAAACTCGCCAAGAACCTCAGTCTCAGGCATAAGGAACAGAAACAAAAGTGAGTATCTACAATGCTTGTGGGTTAGGTTAGGTAAGGTTAGGTTAGTTAATGCTAGGTTAGACTAGTAGCATTGACTAAGGATTTACAGTCAATGCTAGTAGGTTAGGTTGGGTTAGGTTAGGTAAGATTATGTTAGGCTAGGTTGGACTAGGTTTGGTGATATTAGTTAAGGTTAACATGTTAGTATCTTAATTTTAATCTTAATGAATGGTTATAGTTTTCGCTTGACAATCAAAAGGCTGCCGGTTCGATCCTGAGAAAACGCAGTAGCTTTTGATGGTTCGAAACTAGACCCGGCTGTCCCTGGTCGTTGGGGCCTCAAATAAATTTAACAGCTGATTTGAGTCAGTAACAAAGCTACACAGATCACCTCTATCCATTTTACATTCATCCTACACTCATATCTGGGTTAAAATATGCACCAGATGGCATCCGCATCTCAATTGATAATGATAATTAGCCATTCTTCGATGCGAGGTGTTAACCTAGAATTTGACAAATAACGTGTTTTAATTGCTGGGAACCCCCCAGCAAATATTGTATTAGTATTAGGATGATCGTTAATCATAGAATTGTCTGTGTTTACATCATGTCATCAATAATATTTCAACCGTCATAAATTACCATAGAACAGTGAAAGTAACCCCCTAGTTTGGCTAAATAGTCAATTGATTTATTTTAGTTATGTGTGGCAGTGTAAAAAATAACAAACGCCTAAAGAAATCAAATGTGAGCGTTGTACTGTTATTATCTTTGCTGCCACACCAAGCTTAAGAGTTTATAAGATCGAGAGCAAATTGTTCTTAGCATGCTGTCTTCCCGTTGATTTGATGGACGATTTAAGAGGAAAACATTCGATCACAAAATAATGTAAAATAGGTTGGTTGGTGTACAGTCGGATACGTGAAATTAAATTCCGGTAGAATCATGTTGATAAGGGTTGGTGATTGATTGCAGACTTTTCGTGTTTTATGATACATCATCAATGTCTAGCACTGAAAAACATGGTTGATGCTGAAACAAAAAAGTGATGCTAATGATAAACCAAAAGCCGAATGAAAACTACGGTTATTTTAAAATGGACTTTTAGTTTCTGAAAAGGATCTTTTCTCGTGAAGCAAGAATCTGATAAAAGACTTATTAACATTATTATGAGCCACCATCAGAAATAACCACTTTGCATTGCCTCATTCTGCTGCATAGCTTGTATTGAATGTGGTACCAGTATCGTCATCTCCCCCAGTTGATGGTTATTGTTGTCTGTTTCTTTTCCTTCCTACAATGGAATATTGTTTGTCATGAGGAAAATTAAAATATTACTGTTGTCGTTCCATTTATACGGACCATTGGCGTTACATCATGCATTACTAAACTCCTCAGTGAAGAATTTACCCATAGAATCTTTTCTAAAATCAAATCAGGGATGTAATAAAATACATCAATTATATTTTTATAGCCATAAATTTCATACTATAATAAATTGGGGTTTATTTTTCCTCATGATATTTCGCTCTTAAACCTTCTAATGAGTTAAAATGATTAGGCTAATGATCATTCGGAAGAAAATAGCTCTAGGCCTATACCTAATCGTATAAAAGCTCAACTTAAAGGTGTTTACGAAACGCTTGAGGAGAGAACGTGTGAAAGAAGCTCATTAGTTGTAAATCGAAACCTCACCACACACAGGGGTTGGATAAATCATTGTGGTGTGGCCCGAGATAGGGCTTCTTGGAGAGTCACATTACGTTCAGCCCCTCATTTATTGCGTGTTTTGGCGCGCCTACACGTTTAAACGTGATAAGAAAATTTCTTCTCTTTCATAAGGTTACAACGGTTGTTTTAAATAAATTTCCCCGATATTAAGTACGTGTCCTTTTCATCTTTAGAGCCAAAACGAAGAATCTGATTCCTAGTGATGACACATACTATTCGTCGATGTTTTTTTAGCTTGTACAATAAAACATGCTCTTTGTATACCACACTTTTATATTCTGTGAATAGCGGTAACGACAACAATTCACCCCCATTCTATTGAGGGGAATCACGGAGCGCCTTTATAGATACTCATCCTAGAGGGGTGTTCTCTAATGTTCAATGGTTGAACCATGAGTCAGCCGCAGTGGCGGACAAATTGCTTTTTGATACCAGCAAATATTTGTCCACACGTAGGTTTATCAGGGGGAGCAACAATGGGCCCTATAATGCTGTGCAAACAGCTCACTATCGCTTGCGCCGTAAGGACTGTAATATTAACAAGACACTGATTGTGTGGCATTATACTGATTGTACAGGTGATTATGTGGCTAGGGGATTATGGTAACTGATTGCCTTCTGTCGCTTGATTTTGGAGGGAAAGAATGTGGAATGGCGAATAAGGGGGTTTGATGTTAATTCACGGAAATATTGAAATCAGTTTTTTATGTTACGCTTTCCTCGTCTTCTGAAATAAAGTTTGGTTACCATACATTTTGATTGTTGGTGTCGCAAAATATTCTGATTGTTTACGAATTTTTAAAATTACGTAAGAGGAAATATTTGTTACTTAAGCCAAGTTAACTTTGGTTGTCTTTGTCCGTATTATTTACATGGTCATCCGTTTAAATCTTTGTGATGTTGAACTGATATAAAAAAAAATCATTTGACGGTAAAATTATTTTAAAATACATCCCTAGAGGAATTAAAAATGAAAATTTTCTCAAAAAGTTTAAATCGTTTGCCTAACTAAAAAAAAATCTTAATAAACATGGTCATTTATTCTCTAAAAGAATTTTTTCCACCTCCCTCAATAATAGGCCTACTGTATTAGACATTAAGAACACATATGTATATAGGGAGTTGTTTGTATTTTCTTATAATTGTAAGCGTCAACACTACAGTATTCAAATTCTGTATTATGTTTACTTCTCAATTAATAAAGAAATTGAAATTAACTGTATAGTTGATCAGCTTTAACATTACTTTTTAATTTTGCAAGTAGATTTTTTATCTTCCGATCATTCTAAGACTTTTTTATGTGTGACTCATGTTCGGTCATGCTAATCGCCGAATTCCTTTCTCTCATTATTATTTGAGTGTAATTATTGCTGTCTGATATACTTATGTGATTGTTTAAAATGAAACTTTTTGTTATTGTTGTAATAGTTTTTAGGTTGGTAAAATAGTGACGATGCTTATAATATAAATATGCTTTCTGAATGCATCCAACATGATTGAAACACATCTGGAAATAACCATCTTCAGCTTAATTATTGACTTTAACGATGATAATTCAATATTACTGGTAATTAATTTTCAATACTTGATTTTAATTCATAGATATGTTTTTTTTCTTGAATCATTACTATTGATGGGTTTCAATGGGTTTCTAATTTGTTATATAGATTACTTGTCTGTTTAATTTGTGTCATCCTTCCAAGAACTATTAGCCATGTCTTTGACAGTAACAGTCACTTTATGTATACAAAGTGATATGCCTAACCAATTATTTATGAACACGTCCAAGTTCCACCAATTAGCGCTCTGGTGAGATAAGGCTCTGATTTCCTTATAAGCCTAATTAACCTTTGTGTAACTAACCCTAATTAATTACTCAACAACCCTACAAATGGTTAAAGGAACCTTCAGTGTTTAAAATGTTAGTAATTTGTGTTATTTAATTTTAATTTGTCGTTGTCAAAATCTGTAAAATATTTTTGCAACATTTGCTGGGTGGGCTGAGGATAGTTTTAACTAGATACATAATCCACATGTGGAAAATATAAAATAAATATATAACAAAATATTTCAAGGCCTGAAAACTCTACAACTGAGAAGTTGTTGAAATGGAATAGATGCTTAACGCTAATAGGTGGCCAAGAGGAAAAGTTTAGAAGATGGATGGATGGATGGAAGAGGGCGTGAAGAAAATTGGTGTGAATTGATTAGTTGAGGGATAGAAGGAAATGGTCTTGTTGCTGTCCAGGCCTATGAATAACTTGAACAGAATAGAAGAGGAAAATGTACGTATGAGAAGTCTACTTGCAGTATCCAAAGTCAATGGTTCTTCCTGCTCCCACCGTCGGAACTAAGTGGAGATGATGTATTCCTATATGGTCGACTACCCTACTCCCCCTGTGACCACTGAACATTAATAACAGGGAGAAATACATCACTCTATACCCATGACTGAGTGTAATTTATATCTAGGTCTTACTTGCAGCCTATGGTGTTTGGCTTTGGTTTTTACCACTGTGATCTACTACACCATATGTTGCTAGATGAAACTCTGGCTGTATAGTCCCTTGTTTGGAGTTATTTGGCAACTACCAGAGAACTGTACTATTCTTGGAATGATGTCATATGGTTTATGATTAGGGTATAATTCTACCATTGGGGTTTTCCTATGTAAATTTGTTGTTCTTGTAGCTGACAGTTTAAAATCCCTTCTATGTCTAGGTTATGCATATAGTTTTATTATGCTACTGCCCTTGGGTATGTAATAACACACACTTTAGGTCCATTCCTAACTTAAAACTTCCATACAATACTTTATTTTCAGCCATAGGAATTGATTTTAATAAAGGGCTTTTAGCTTTTCTTTGTTTTACGGTGGAGAACACCTGGTCTCCTGAAGTTACTGCAACACCAGTACAGTATCCTTCCTACAATTAATTTATTATAGAAATTCCACTATACCGTCAACCATGGCTTGATAAATTTGCCACAATGTAAACAGAGAAAACTTAAGTTTTTGGCTTAATTTTTTTGCTATGAAACGGGTCAATATTTCCAATAGCCACACCTCAAAAATGTGAAGCTCACCAGTAAAAATCATAAAATATGTTATTATAATGCACACTACTGGGTGTTGTAGCTATCCTTTTTTACTCAGTTTCAGATAATTTGGTCCATGTCTTTGTATTATTTTTTTTTTTACAAAATTGACAAACTGGTTTTTCTCATATTACTAATAGATTAAGTTACAGATTTAGTTATGTTTAGTTATAGATTTAAAATAGGGTAGTATTTCTTTGAGCCCCATACTGTTGATATTTGGCATGCAAGTATGAATTATTAAACAAAATTTACTCACTTATTGTTCCATGAAATAATTGTTAACATTTATCTAAACATTAGAGAGTTACATAGTATACAGCATAATTCCTTTAGCCATTGGCAACAAAACTTAAGCAAAGCTGCTAACCAACAACAACTCATATGTCTCTTGTGATCCTCCTCTTTTTCCATCTCTTTTGCTTTCTTTTCTCCTTTCTCATGTCTCTTGTGATCCTCCTCTTTTTCCATCTCTTTTGCTTTCTTTTCTCCTTTCTCATGTCTCTTGTGATCCTCCTCTTTTTCCACCTCTTTTGCTTTCTTTTCTCCTTTCTCATGTCTCTTGTGATCCTCCTCTTTTTCCATCTCTTTTGCTTTCTTTTCTCCTTTCTCATTCTTTTCCATTTTCTCTTTCTCTTCTCTTTTTACACTGCATGTGTCCATCTTTGATAAACTTTCCCTAAAACTTTTTGACAAGGACAAAAATGTAACTTTTTTCACCCTGTTTTCTTCATGGATTTTTCCTTCTAAGTCTGGTTCCTTATTCTCAGTTATTTTATCACTGCCGATGCTCATATTTTCTTATTATCATTGGTTACTCTCAATTAGTTGTGATCGTACTCTAAGGTAACATGACATTTTAGTATGTACGGTAAACTGTAAATTTTGAGGGGCAAAATAAAAAGGTTTTCCATAGAAACACTAAATCCTCAAATTTTGTAAAGTCGTGTTGTTTTATAATTTTTATTATGATAAATACCTATTAAGTTCTGTCATTTGTTGATTACAAAGACTTAGGCTAAGAATGTTTTAGTATTAAGATACTTAATAAGTAGTTGCCTTATCAGTGATTATAACTATAAATCTATTATACTAAACAGTGATTATAACGATAAATCTATTATACTAAAAAGAAACCTTATTTTTATCAAAACCTTGTAATACCTTTTTTATGGCTTTCTACTGTAATAGATAAATAATTGAAATATAATATGTAATCAACATTCAGACAGTTAAACTTTTGGAATTTTTATTTTTTTAAATATTTTGAAAACCATTGGATTGCCAAATGATTGTTTCCATGGTAGAAACTGAACATAAATTTATCACCATTGACTTGAATAAAGTATTGTAGAAATTAGTTGCTTCCATTTTTATACCAAAAGAGAACTAAATTGAATAAGCATTTCATAAAGTGTGCTATTTAGGTGGTCCACATGTCAATGATTGATAATTAATTGATAATATTCTATTTTATACTTTTTAGTTTGCCATACTATGATAAGCAACATAAAACATGCTATACTTTACAAGAAGTAGCTCTTTCAGTTTTGCATGATTAGTAAGGAAACACTATTTTACTGCAGACTGGCAACAACTTTAACACCTCCAATTGTATTGTTTATTGTCTACTTTTTAGGTAAAAGGTTATAAATAAACTCAAGAGGTTTAGAACAACCCTAAATAGAACCTAGTGATATATTTAGAACCATTAGAGTAAATAGCTCAATCAGCTGACTGGGAGGGTTGAAATTGCACAGGAGGAAAGAGGGGACAAAAGGTCCAGGGTGGCATTTACAACAGACTGGTATAATTACTGGGGCCACCCTGGGCTAGGTCTAGTAGCTGAAAGGGACAAAAACTTTGTGTAAAGTAATTCAGGTCCTCCCTTACAGAATTATGGTGGGGAGATTATTATATGGCTACTGATTGAAACGTTTCAGAACTGAGATATGATTTAAAAAAGTTAAGTACACGATATACTAAACATAGCCCCTAAAATATTTATCAGTCAAAGACATTTTTAAGGTATGTTTTTAAGGCATTTGTAGAGTGTCAGTGTGTTTATTTTTTGTTTACTGTTTATTTTACTAATGTAACGTAGTAACTTATATCAATCAAATAAAAGGATAAAAAGAAAATTATCGTGTGGTATTCACTTCATTTTGCTGTTCAAGGAAACTCATTAAAATATGTTGTAGTCTTTAACATCATTAATAAGAAAAAAATACTTTGCAGTACTACTTATAAATAGTTTTATTCATATTTTCACTTCTACTGGCAATTTCTGTTTTATATAAATGTGGACCCTATCCTGGTTCTGTTACTATCTAATGTCCCTCTTTGTTGGATTGCATCAGTAATTATTGATAGCTTAAGGGCAAATGGAACCTGAATCAGTAATCAACAATGTCAACGCCCAGCCCCTTAAAAACCTTAGCAACCAAAGGATTGTCCAAAAGCTATAAACTGCTTTTCCTAATTTCAATTATCTGACGGTGTAATATTTTTTAGTTAAAAAAAAGATCAATATATTGTTCAATGGACCTAGGTATGAATGGGAAGACAGACTAGAAAGTAATCTAATTTTAGACCGGAGTAAGAGTTGTGTCACTAAGCACGTACATTTGGCATTCTACCAGTTAAGCCATGGTTGCCATGGTAGCAGACAGGGTGGATCTACCCTCCCAACCAACCACCAACAACCACTCACTCTGCCATATGACATCTGTACTCTACACAATCATGCTCAACCATTGATTAATTGGTACTACTGTAACACACACTGTGATTTCATTTACAAATTATTTTGTCTACATATAAATTTTCAATCAGCTGTTTTAACTTAAACAAATCGTCAAAACAATTTTTATGCAAGTATAGGCTATTATAAACGAGTGACTTTTATCATTGACTGTAAAATAAATTAATGCTGTAGGCCTATATTGTGGATTGCCAGGTACAAATTTCCATCATAATAAATTGAAATTCCACTGAAACCTAGATAATAAAAGTCAGAATTAGATGTAAATAAAACCTTATTGTTTTTACAATAGAAATAAAAAATATACCGAGCTATGGCTCATTCCCCAGATACTTTCCCTAAAATAAGTAGTACTTTAAATCAATTTTTTTCAAGAGTTGGTCATATTTTTTATGAAGTCTGACATTTGATTGTTTTGTATAATATTAAACATTGGATTTTCTTTGTATGTACTGTATAATACCTAAGCTTATCTAACCATTAACAACTATATGTAAAGGCGGATTTTCCTACCTGCCGAATAAGGCTGCTTTTTTGGATCCAGCTGAACACACAACGGTCAAGTAAAGACGTTTTCCTAGTTGCAGAATTAGTAAAGTAATATTCAATGCTTGCATGACATTCATAATTTTGAAGCCAAATTCGCCAGCTAGGAAACCCAACTTTAAGGTGAGATATAGAGAATGTTGCAGAAATTTAAACTCCGTTATAACAGAGCCAACCTCTACAATCCAAGTTAGCGCTTCTTATGATTTGAGTAATCAAGCTAATACTTTTGACAATCATTCACTGAATTACCCATGTGTCAGTCACATGACTGATTCAGGATAGGAGTTGCAACTATCCATATCTGTGTGAAACCGGTTTTTAAAGTACATTCCTTACGTAGGAGCTATGTATGTCAGCTACTGTTGTTTTGGGATTGGAGATTGAGGAATTGTTTTCCCAAAATGAGCCCAGGTCAAATTGAGTGAGCATTCATTCTCTATCAGCTAAACAGTAGTTGTAATCGTGGATACCTAAGCTGATAACTTTCAGTTGGAAGGTACTGCAAGTTGATTCAGATGATATTCTCTTTCTAACAAATTTTTACTTTAGATCTCAGGAAGAGATGTATAACCGAACACTGGGGGAGCCAGGGAAAAGTAGTAGGCAATAAGTTAACTTCCATTTTACTATTTTCATTTACTATTTCAGGAGGGAGCAGTGGCCGCTGTTCTCCACATACTCGTGTTGGCAGCAATTGGTTACCCAGACCAAGAACCTGAGCAAAGATCACGCAGCTCTCAGTGAGATCTACTCCACACATCTAGTCAGTCGTTTATCACAAGTTATTGAGGATGTTCAGAGGATATACAGGAGGGTAAGTGGTTAAAAATATTTGTTGTGCAGTCCTTAATCATTTCTGCACAGCTTAGACCTCTAAAATTCACCGTAACTAATCTTCCAGGATAGGCTTCCACAGTCATTTATTGTAGAATTGTGGTCTTCTGGTGACGACTGTGTCAAAACCCAAATCACTATCACTTACCAACGTTTCGGCCACTATGTAGAGTGCCATGCACACTGCTCAGGACAACCTGACTCTGCACAGATGACAAATCAAGTCTTGTCATTTGATGACTTCTTGGTTCGTCATCTATGCAGAAGCAAGTTGCTGTGAGAATGGCACTCTACATCAAGGTTGTCACCAGAAGACCACGATTCTGTAACAGTAACAGTAATTCATTCTTCAATTAGTTGGTACAACTTCAACTACTCCACAGGAATTATTTGTTTGTTTCAAAATCGTAAATTATTGTTCATATATTTATTCTCTGTTGTTTTTATGTTGCCATTTTGTTAGATTTACAAAATTGTTTACCTTTTTATGTTTGAATATGTTGTATTGTAACACTAAATCTTAAACTGTGTTTAACATCTTAGGAACTACTTTACGTTTTAGAATAATTAAGGACTCACAATAACAATTTTTAAGAAATCAAGACAAAGCACCTGTACATGTGATTTTCACAAGTTTGTATTTTATGTACACATAAATTATCATTATTATCATCATTCTTAATCTATCTTTTGTTATATAAAATATGCTCGCTTTATCTACCAAATTTCTGCTACAAACTACAATCAACTCTTCCTGTACAAATCATGCACAGACACAACCAGATACAAATAGTTCCAAGATTTTCATGTGTCCCATGATTGCAGTGTCGTGAGATCGGCTACGAGACTCACGAGGAGATCTTGCGGGTGCTGCACGAGCTGCACACCACCATGAAGACTTACCAGGCATACCAGGGCGAGTGCAGACAGGCAGAAGCTAAGTTGAGGCTGGTCGAGAACCAGAGACTCAAGATAGAGCAGAGTCTGCCCAAGGAGAAACTGGACAAGTCTAAGAAGTTCAGGCTTATAGAGAAGGAGGTGCAGAAGGTGAGTGTAGGGGTCTTTGAGTTGATATGGGTATATTCTTAAGTTGACATTGATGTTGTTGAATTGAAATGAATCCATCCTCGAGTTGACAGGGGTACATGTTTGAGTTGATATGGGTATATTCTTCAGGTATAGGGGTATATTCTTAAGTTGACATTGATGTTTTGTTGAATTGAAATGAATCCATCCTCGAGTTGACACGGGTCCATCTTTGAGTTGACAAGGGTCTCTCTAGAGTTGATAGGAGTACAGTATATCCTTGAGGGAAAGAGGTCCATAATTGAGTTGACATAGGTCTATCTTTGAGTTGACACAGGTCCATCTTTGAGTTGACAGGGGTCTCTCCCAGAGTTGATAGGAGTATATCCTTGAGGGAAAGAGGTCCATCACTGAGTTGGCAGCAGTATATTCTGCATTGAGACTAATCCACCCTTGAGTTAACAGAATATTATCCTTTAGTTTGGTCAATCTTGGAGGTGACGATGCCTGTCAGTGAGTTGATAGGGATCAATCCTTGAGTTGCTGCTATTCAAGGGCGGATCCACAATAAATCGTTGGGGAGGGGGCATAACCAAGAGTTCTGTAAGGATCGGTGTTTCCATTTCCTAGGGGTCCTTATTAAAACATTTTGTAAATTTAGAAACCTAAACTTATACTTGCACGGGTGTTCAATCAAATCAGAGATATCTATTGCCTGGGCATTGAATTGCCTCAATTTCTGATCCATATGTCTACTTACTATGTCAACCACTTGGTCATTATATCTTAATTCTTTTACTTTTCGGAGGAGGAAGGGCACATCTCTTCAGGCAGACATTTGTATGTCTCTTTATACTCATATATAAAGTTTTTTTTGTTATTTAACAATAATTTTCTTTACTCTTGATTATATACGTCTTTTGTCACAAGGTCAAAAACTCGTCTTGTTTACTGTTCATTTTTATGCAAGTATTAGACTACCTCTCTCATTATTACAACATATTTATAAATGAACTGCTTTAAATATTAAAGCTTCTTAATTTAAGCCAGGGGCAGAACAATGGAGAGTAAATAATTACGAGGAAGGGTTTGACGGACAAATCCGATGATATTACCAGTTGAGGGGTGCGCGGAAGAGGGTTAAACTTTAAACAATGAAACTCTTCCTAACTTTTCTGGTTGTTTGGGACAACATAATTTGGTTATAGTTGGTTTGAAAGTCTACTTCTTAGTATTTTCTTGATGTTTCCATACATATTTTACCTAAAAGGTTTATGTTTGACTGGTCTTTTAATGTTATATAAAGCTAGGTGATATTAATCTTTTTATTTTTGCATAGCTTACTCCTTTAACCACTAACCGGTTTAATTTGGCCTCGCCACATAACAGTCTGTGCTGCTTCTGATTCAATGTATTTTTTTATTAGATCATCACTCTCATCACTTGCTAATTCATCTTTCCTCCTCTTTTAGTGCCTATGGGTTTTTTTATCCAGATTTTCATTCCTTCTTTGTTTCTTTCAGCTTTAGCTTATTACAGACGTCTGCTTTTTTACTACAGAATTTTTTTATAGGGTCTAAACTCCCTATCATGCTTAATTCTCCACTCCCAATTCTTTTGTCAGTCCCAAGACTTTAATATTTTACTAGCTAATTGACTTTCAACCGCATGTTAGTACCATCAAATCATATTAGTGATTTAATTCAACATATTAACAAGGTACTTAGATTACCACCCCATAACAATTAGGGTGAAGCAGTAATTAGTCAAAATTCTCCCCTCGAGTAATCAGGGTAGCAAGGATGTAATCAGTGGAACAGTTGGACCTTTGTACAGCTCAGTGTGAAGTAGTGGGCGTGGCAACCCTTGTGCAGACAGATGTTCACAATGAACCAAACCCTACCCTGTCATCAAGCGGGTATTGAAATGGGTTTGCAAATGAGTCGGGCAGAAATTCTCCTTTGATAAAAATCTGCATTGAGACTGGGTTGTAAATGAGGTGAAAAAATTCTCTCAAAGTGATATTGATATAATGACATGGGTTTGCAAATGATATATCTCAAAATATAGGGAGTGGTGACAACCTAGGTCTATAAGTTCAGAACGAAATTCACCAAATTTGGGACTATCATTTTGATAGACAACTGGTAACTTAAACTTTTATTAGTTAACTCATGCAATCCAGAGGCTACCAATCATGAAATTAATGGCGTCAAGAACCAGTCTATACATTACATAAAAAAGGTTTCACTACTTAAAATTCTGTATCGCTACAACCATAGGTTGCACGATGATAAGAAGGTGTCCGTGAATGAGAGAAATTTGTGTCCAATTTTGATGAAATTTGGCGTGAAGTTGTAGGGTGGGATATGAAAAAAACTCACTTTATTGTCCTCTCTGTAACACCAAACCTAGAGATACTTGGTAGTTGGTAAACCTATATTCTGCAGGTTTACTGTTACGGTAGTATTGCTTTATCAAATTGTTTACTCCAAATCGCTAAAAAAACATCAATGGTGATCACCAATAAAAAAAAAACTTTTAATTTCATGTTTATACATTTGAACTTATAATTTTGCTATATTTTTCTACCTTGACTATTTGTTTGCTACTTATATTTATATTGAAGGGCAGAGAAGGTTAAGGGTTAAGCTTTTAGCAGTTCACGTTTTCAGAGGGTGGGTTTCATTTCCCCTTCAATCGGATTCCCTGACGGCTTTGAGAGCAATCTGCTTATTCAGTGGAAATATTACAAACCATTAATCAATGTAACAAGGCAACTTTGTGATTGATGCTAATTTATGCCTGGTTAATGATTTACTGTTACATCAAGGATCCTTAATACGCAAATTATTGTTGTTATTGTTGGTAATTTATCTTGTATAGCTTTATGGAAAAATCATTACCATTTAACAAGGTGAAAGTTTTTTTTTTGTAAAATGTAATGTATTAAGTGTCGATAATAGTCCTAACATTAACTTTTTCCATATGACCATCTTTTGATTTTCATAATCTTTTCTCATCCTTATTTCTTTCTTCCTTAGTTTCCATTCTTCTTCTAGAACCTCTCTCTCCTCCCTTTTTTCCTTAAATTTAAATTTTTACCCTGGTATGTCAAATTTGGATTGTAATGTTTTTACTTTTTCGCCAATTCTGCTTTTTGTAGCTTAAAGGTGTTGTCATTTAAGGTGTATTATGTTTCAGAGAAAAAACAAATACTTTGACGCCAAACTGAAAGCACTGAAAGCCCGCAACGAGTACATTCTCAACCTGGAGGCCAGCAACACGACGTTACACAAGTACTTTGTAGACGACCTGTCCGACCTGATAGACTGTATGGACCTGGGCTTCCACGAGTGTATCAGTCGAGCTCTGATGATGCACATCTCTGCAGAGGAGGGTCGCCAGGCCTCGGTACAGGCTGGGCTGGACGCTCTACAGGTCAGTACACTGGCTGAGTCATCGTATAGTGTAATCGGTCATCGTAATCGTACAGCGAGGTAACCTTACTGCTGACCCGCTGACGCTCAAGAAGTTTGTTGAGTCTGACTTGTGAGCGGTACTTTCAACGTGAGCACTAGTTCCATTCGGGCCACAATGAAATGTTAGCTCAGTTGGCTAAGCAGTTTTGTTGACTAATGTTGTAGCGTTGATGACTTTCTGTATGCACTTGTTTAATTTTATGCATGTGCAAACCATATTACGCTTACTAATGGGCTTGAATATTTTTTTTTACTTTTCATTGAATTGGGGACCATACATGCGAATGGAGATGAGTGTAGGATGAGTGGCGCGATCTTGTAGTCTTGTTAGTGACTAAGGCCCACATATTCCTTAGACCCAGCTGTTAATTGATAGCCCATACAGCTAATGGCAACTAAGGGACCCACAGTTTATAGTGAAATCTGAAGTTGATGGCATTAGTGAGTTAAGCGAGGATTGCACACAACACCTGTTTTGCTTCATTTTACATTATAGAGGACATCAATTTATCTTTTTTTGCTTTTATTGTGGTCTATATGGACATATCATGTTGAACAGGTATGATAAAAGACATAAAAGGACATAGAGCCTAACCTAGAAAATAATTTTAAAGAAATTTAGAAACATATTCCGATTTTAAGATTTGATAATATTTTTTGTTGTTGTTGGATTTTACAAGGTTTTCAGTAATGTCTCTGATTTTACTAGAGGATCTCTGAACAGTCATTGATATTGTTTTGATGGCCAGTGAAAGTCACTGACTTTTTTAGAGGAAGCCACTGATTTTCTAGAGGGTCTCTGAAAAGCCACTGATTTGTCTTAAAGGACACTGTAAAGACACCGTTTTACCAGGGAAACTAAAAAAAGTCACAGATTGTACCAAGTGGACACAGAATTTAATTCTAACAAATTTGTAGACAAGCTATGGTTTGCTTGACCTATTTATATATGGTTCTTATAAAAACCATAAAAAATTATACTGTAATAGTGGTTAAAACCCAACAAATCATATCAATATGCAAAAAGTAATTAAACTGAAAATAAAACTTCAAGTTAAACATTAGTGTTCAACTACAACCCCCATTTTGAAACTGTTGCACTGGACTTATATAAAACATCTGTTTCAGGCAAACATTCAGTCTTTGGACTCGAGACTGGACAAACAGAAATTCCTAGAGTTCAACCACATGGCTTTCATGATTCCCAAGAAGTTTGAGTTCCAGGGAAAGAATGACGAAGTAAACATCCTGCGTGTAAATAATGTTACTGTTTTACCTTTGTAGAAGTAGTAGTGCATGTCGGTGACGGTAGATGTTGGGGTTAGAAACAATGTTCGTTTATTATTAAACTGTAGATTACCAAAACTATATTAAATTATTAAAACTATATCTTTTTCTCTTTTCTACTGAACAGAAATATTACTTTGTTAAAAAATAATTATTAGTTTCAATAGAGGGACATTGTAAAAGTTATGCTTTTGTTAAAAACTAACATTGCATTCGTTGTAACTTATAAACATCCACAACAACAATAAAAACTAAAAATTGATTAAAATATTACATTTCAAATTAAAGTATAATCTTTTAAATTACTTTTCAGTTCAGGATTTGAGGTACAAAAAAGAATCATATAACTCTTCTGTAACCAGTTAACACAGTTTTGCAGTTATTTAGACTGTGAAAGCTAAACAAATATTCCATTACGGTGGCATTGATATTGAATCCCATTTTTACTTTAACAGTTAGGATTTGCTAGCTGTCATGACAATGTTAACGATTAAAACATGTGTTTGTTTTTCTTTCTATGTATTGGCAATGGTATTGGCTTATATGACAATTGATTCTTGATTTTGATACCTATGTTGTAGAATCGCTATCAACAAATACAAATTTAGGATGGACTCATCCCTGTGTGGAATTTTACGTAATACCCATGCAATAATTTGTAAATAATAGTATTTTTGTGTATCAAGTAGATATTGAAGTTTGTTTAGTAATTTGGGATTGTGATAATATACTGTTTTTATAGCAGAATGATGAATATTAGTGTAGTCAGTAAGTAATTAGTCTTTTCACTAATATATTACACACAAGATTAGTCAAGCTTACAATAAGTGATACGCTTGAAAATTTAAAATATAAATTATCACTATTCAAATAGCGCTTGCGTCCTGGTTCCGCCACTAATATTTCTCAGTACCAGTTCACCCCTTGCTTTGCTAAATAAATGTTCAACGCATATAATAGGCCAGAGGCCTTTGTGGACAAGCAAGGTAGGTTCAAGTGCAGGGGGTAGATTTCTTTCTCTCAAATCGCCTATTTTTTTTTCAAACGGAGTATAGTTATTTCATTAGTGAGGGAAAGGTGGCATTTTGTATAACACTGAGCTAACTTGTTCACTGTTAACAGTTTGCTGAGCCTGAGCTACAGAAACTATTGTGTGCTGATATGGAGACCAGACTGGTGCAGCTCAAGTCTCGGCTGACATCTCTCAAAGCTGAGAGTGAAGAGGTAAGTTAATAGTTGAGTAACAGAGTCGACTACAAGCTCGCTACAAAATCAAGATCGTTACAAAGAGTACATAGAAATATCCGCAGGGGGCTGGCGACCACGCGGACCCCAGCTCTCCCAGAGGGGAGGAAACTCCCCAGTGTTAGAACCGGCACTTTAGGAAGGCCACAAGCTATGGACAACTGGGCAAGCCAGCCTCTTTGGGTTGTACCCAAAGTGAGAGTACCCAGTGACATTTCCTCCATTCAGGGTGGTGGGGTGTTCAGCTCTGAGAGACTTTGGTCTCCCACCTGCCTGTGCGTGTGGTTGTGACTTGAGTTCTTCGGGCTCGTCCTGCCTGTTGTGTACGACTGACATTATGTGAGGCATATCCTCGACTCTGGAAGTAGCCTCGTCCTGGGAGGTGAAAAATTCTGCCCCCGAACGGGAGGTAACTGCTCGGTGTTGAAATCGGCACTGCAAGTAGGCCATAGCTATGGACGACTGGATACGCCAGCCCCTTAGGGGGAGTTCCCAGTGACATTCCTCCATCCAGGTTGGAGGGATGTTCAGCTCTGCGAGAGGTGGAAGTGCTCCATCAATCTCTCACCTGCCCGTGGCTATGGTTCTATGGGTTTAGGCCCGCTTGCTGTGTGCGAACAACATTCTGTGTGGCAAATCCTCGACTTTGGAAGTAGCCTTTCCTGGAGGTGAAAACGGGCGAGTACCCGTAAGCTCACAGGGACACTCTAGGGGAACGTAACTTTCCGCAGTGTGAGGGTAACGGCTGTGGGCACTTCCTCAGCCAATCCCTGTCTCTGAGCCCAGAAGGTATGGTTATCTAGAGTGTGGGGGGTTCTCCCTGGAACCTCAATTGAGTTAAGAGTGTCGCCACCTTTGGTGGATAGGTTCATCCGGGTGGGTCCCACTTCTAAACCTGCCTCCTTTTGGGAAACCCTGATGGCCAGGCAGCGATGTTGGGCTAGATGGGCAAACGAAGTAGATCGGGTAGTGGGTTCAAGCCCGCCAGGGGTAGCTGGGGATCTATCGCTCTTGTTATCTCTGGTTCCCAGCAATGGGTTGGCCTTGATCGGGTAGTGGTGAAAATAGGTGGTTGGGGTTTGCTGATGGTCCCCCTCCTCCTGGCTATGATGGCGGGTTTCGGCCTGTCAGGGATTAGATAGGTCCCGAGTGTTGCTTGCACTAAATGCGGCAGGGCATTCCACTATGGTCCTTCTGGGTTTCGTACCTGGGGGAACCCAGGTGGAGTAGACGCTTGACCAAGTAGTCTGTATCCCTGGTTAGGATTGAGGGGCAACCCTCTTTCCGATGGGAGTGCCATTTGGCAGCCGATGAGCCTGATGGCCTTAAGCCATTCACTCATGGTGTCGTAAAGGTCAGTGCCCAAGTTCTGGCTGGCATCATGGGTCCCGGGTTATGTAATAGGTACCGGGCGACCGTCTGAGAGTTTCGGCTCTTTGGACAAACACTAAGTCTAAGTCTAAGTACATAGAAATTATTTACCTTTCCTTTAATTTATCGGTCTAAACATCAACAAGCTCTCTCCATAATCTCTGGTCCCTTCAGGGTTCGTTCTCCACCATCTGTCGTTTCAGTCCTTTCTTCTTGTCTACCTTGTATCCACCTTCTTCCTTTCGGTTTCCTTACCATATCACCATCAAATCCACTTATCCTATGAATTATCTCTCTACTTTCCTTCCACAAGGGAAATCCATTTACTTTCAATTGGGCCATTTACTAGTCTGAAATTGTTTCTTTTGGATTTAATGGGATCAGGTATACAGTTCTTTAGTCGAAATTCTGGTAGGATCGTGTCAATTAGGAGTAACGAGCAGGATGTTCAAGTACACAGGAATTCTTGCCCTAACACTTTCGCTTTTGTTATTGTGTGCAATTATCTCAATAGTTAGCTGTCTTTGAATTAACACCACTACCTAGTCTAGAGGTACTGAATTTAGTGGTGAGACTCTCAGTGTTATTGGGAGCCTTTTGTTTCCATCCCTCCCACTTTAAGATTGTGCCTAATTGACAAGATCGCCTACAAGTTGTTTGTCATAAACTGTGTCCCTGTGTAGAATGTCCAGCATAAACCAGTCAGAGCATGTAATGCTTGTACCTCTTAATGCAAAAACTAATATTCCTCCACAGGGAAATTTTGATTCCGAACATCTCTGTTGAATGACTAGATATTTTACACATTAGTCACACCACCAATGTTACTTCACTCCCAATATTCCAGGTGTGGAAGACTCTAGAGACAGCCGAGTCTACTCTGCTGGACATGCTGACAGCCAAAGACTACGACTGTCGAGCGTACTTCGGAGACAACGCAGTCCCGACACACAAACCTCCTGAGACTGTGAGTCTCAAACTGCGCGCTGACAGACACGAGACTGAAGAGTTCTACCTCACTGTGAGTATACTCAGCTAACATACCCTGTAAATATCTCTTTGAGTTAGTATTCACCCTTGATTGGACACTTTTTACGTTTTAAAAGTAAAAATTTGAAAAAACCCATTTTTGTCCAATTGTAACACCAGCTCTCAAACACATAGAAGATAGCCTAGCCATACTCATTCATGCCAAATTCAATCAAACAAAATCAAACCACGATTTTGTTTGAGTTATCTCGTTTACTGGCTCAAATATAAACATTCAAAGAAATACATTTAAATTAACTGCGACCCAAGTGTAGGTATTTCTGTGCCACCTATGGTAATAGCTTTTTCTATAAGGGAAACTTGCTGAATTGAAAAATTTATAATAGGAATAATTTTAAATCTGTAAATTAGAAGAATATGAAGTATGAAAGTTAATTGTTTAAACAGGGTGTATACCAACCGGGAAAACCGGGAGAACCGGGAAATAACCTTGAATTTGAAGGGACCTGGAAAAAACCGGGGAAAAGCCGGGATTTTTGGTCCGATTCCGGGATTTTTATTTTAGCCCCGGTAGAAGATTGTAGTCGTAAAATGCGTCTTGCCGCGATTGCGGGCGACGACGATGACGTTTTCGTGACCGCGGGAGACGACGATGACGTTTCCGTGACCGCGGGAGACGACGATGACGTTTCCGTGACCGCGGGAGACGACGATGACGTTTCCGTGACCGCGGGAGACGACGATGATGTTTCCGTGACCGCGAAAGACGACGATGATGATTTCTACACGGCCGCTTGAAATACTCAAGATTTTGCCGCGATAGTGGCCGACGACGATGACGTTTCCGCGACCGCAGGAGACGACGATGACGTTTACGTGACCGCAGGAGACGACGATGACGTTTCCGTGACTGCGGGAGACGACGATGACGTTTCCGTGACCGCGGGGGACGACGATAACGTATACATACCGCGGGAGATGTCCAGGATTTTTCCATGATAACGTAAGACTGTGATGACGTTTACGTCACTGTGGGAAGCGACCACACGACCGCAGGAAATATTCAGGATTTTGCCGCCGTTGATAATGTGTTCATAAAAAATTAAGATAATATTCAGGAAGAGAGAAGATGTTTCCGTGGCCTTAAGTAATGATGATAATGAAAATGATTACTATAATTAGGATTATTACTTTTTCAACACTAGCTAACTATGGACTTTGAAACAAATTTGATGTAAGTTTATATTGAATACTTAAGCTGCAAGTCTTAAATTGATTATAGTTTAAGTGGAACCAAAGATATACGCGGGAACCTGGAAAAACTTTGAAAAACCAGGAAAAACCTGGAAAAAACCTGGAATTTCACTTTAATAAAATAGTATAAACCCTGTTAAATCAGTTACGTTCTAAGGAATTTAGTATAGTAGCATGTGTATCTTATAATTTAAAAAATTTTTTTTAAGCAAAATATACAATATTTCTAGGAACGACACAGCATCCTATTATAAGGCTACTAAAAACTAAATAATCCAAGTTTAGTAATAAAAACTCTGCACTAAATTAAATGATGCAGTAGATTCATCAGGGGTACTGCGGAATCTATCTCTAAGCCCTGACCAAACTCAATCAACCCAAATTTTATTGTACCGATCCAATAACTGAAACTGCTTGGAATTGAATACAATTAAGTTCCTAGAGATAAGCACCATATAAGGTATATTCAATGTCATCATGCTACATAATTCGTAAAAAAAAATGTGGAAGCTTGCAAACTTCGCTATGCACCTAATAGAAGAATACTCACCCAAAATAAAATAAAAATGCCAAATGCGTCATATACACACAAAAATTTAAAATACCCATAAGTTTTTCTTTGAATTATTATTAAGTTTGCTGTTGCATTGCAACTTCTACCCTGTCTAAATTGTTTGATATTACAGAAACTCAGAGAGTTCATGTTGGGCACAAGCAGGATAGCGAGGCTGGACTCTAAACATGAACACATCCGAACACAGCTGGTGGACATGTCTTCCGGAGTAGAATCTCCCCAGGGACCTCCCGGACCTGGTGAGTCAGCACTTGGCAAAGTCTACATTCAAATAGGAAGCTGATAGCTAAAAAAATTTAATTAAATTTACTAGGCAACAGGAATTGCCCACCGTGACGTGATTAGTTGGTCCGGCTTAGCCAAATGAATGTAATGGCGCCGACAACAACATGTATCTTATACTGAGGTAAAGATAAAGTTCAGAAAACAATTGGTAATAATTTTATGAAATATATTTTGTGTATACATAGTTGTAGATTTTAAAACTATACCAATAAAAGTACCTAACATAAACAACTTTTGAGGTGGATCTCTTTTAATAGGCCTCGATGTAGCCTTTGAATTACTACCATTGATTAACCAAAAGACAGGTTTATCTGTAATGGCTTTGTCCCTGTTATTTGGGTTTTACTGTACCAACTATTTCAACAAAGTATGTAAAAGATGATGCCAATTTTTTAAATACAAATCAATGATCTGCAGACATACGATAAATTAATAATGACTCAAACAATATTTATTCTGATATAGTGATATTATACAATACTAATTAGAAGTTGGCTGGATATTTATACAGCTCACTTAACAAGTCTCCAATCTTGTTATCATGTTTATCACACAGAGTAATAAGGTGAATGTTCAATGGCAAAAGAGATAAGCAGAAGAGGGAGAGTGTAGATGTGCAAAAGTGGTAAAATGTCTTTTTCAACTGTCTAAATCACTTTAATTGATTATTCGTTATTTTTCATTCACCAATCCACTACGTTAGCCAAACATAACGTGCCCAAGGAGTTAAGTAACCTTCAAACTTGTATGTAGGTTTACCAATTGTATAAACAGATACAATGACATTAATGGATATCTATCATTAGAAGTTTATTCTAGTTGATAAAGTCATGGCGTTTCTGAACTGGTAAAGTTACTTAATCACTTGTTTCTTCTGTTTGTTATATTTAGTTCATTTCATTCACTACAGCAAAGTGTAAGTAACCTATAAACTGGTAAATATCAACTGTCTAATAAACAGATACAGGTACTGACATAGTCAATGTAACTCTAGGTGGAGGGTGTAAGATACAGGGAGGTGTTCCATTACCTGGAATGCTGCACAGCCCTATCGCCAAGCCGCCTCGTCGCAAGCGCATCGGTCGACTGCAGATGAACGGACAACCAAAGCTGTTCGGAGGTTCGCTGGAGGAATATCTCGAATCTCTTAACCTAGACATTCCACTCATCATCAAGAGCTGCATCAGGGTCATCAACCTTTACGGTATGAAGGCAATTGACAAATACATAACTGCTTTCATTTTGGTTACTCCGGGAACTAGGTCACTTACTCAATTGTCCCTCTTCTTAACTTCTTCTTACCATTTACCATTTTACTCCTCTTTGTAGTCATCTCCTTTTAAGACTACTTCCTTCTGTTACCATCAGTTGCATTTTTCTAAGTTCTCTTTTTCATTTATCTCACTTTGTCCACCCACCCACTTTTTTCTATGCCTTTCTTTCTTCACTTGAACATGTTGGAAAATGTATGTAATTTTTCTTCACAAAAAATACACTTTATTTCACATATCTTTTTATCTTTGTCATCCTGTCTAGTATTTTGATTTCACACTGATCATTTTGTCATTTGCAGGTCTCCACCACCAAGGCATATTCAGAGTGTCAGGGTCACAAGTGGAGATCAACAACTTCCGAGAGGCGTTTGAGCGAGGTGAGGATCCTCTAGCAGACATGACGGATGCCTCGGACATCAACTCTGTGGCCGGAGTGCTCAAGCTCTACCTGCGCGAGCTGCGTGAACCGCTCTTCCCCATCATCTACTTCGAGCAGTTCATGGAGCTCGCCCGTACGTTCACAGTCTATTATCAAGTAGCTTTAAGAAAATTTGTGTTTAAATATCCGTTTCCGGTTAGCATTAATATATTTGCTCTAATATTATTTCACCGAACCACAATCTTGCCCAGGTACATTAAAAGCAACCTTTTTTTCTATTTTCAAACCTCCTTTTGGGAATTACGGAGTAATACGCTTTGAGAAGATAACATGACAGTGGCTGAACATTCTTGGAGAGGGCATTCTACCAACTCAAAGAATTCATCAACTGAGCAAATCTTGAAAAGAGTACTGTAAAAATTTGTATTATATTTCTGTATAAAATAGCAAAAAAAACATTGCATTGCTACAACTAACATGAAGTAAATAATTTTTTTCTAAAAATACACGTTCTTTTTGCCGTTAGTCATTAATGTGGTTTTACAAACATGTTCTTAGTAGAAAAGTTTTTTAACTGTATAAAAAGCAAAAAGGTGAAGGTTTATCCTTAAAACTTTGATAAGTAGATCAAGACCTCTCATTGTGAGAATGTATTCATCTTTCAACTTCACAGCACTATCTGTTTCAGAGCTGGAGTCCAAGCACGATTTTGTGTTGAGGATGAAGGACCTTGTTCAAAGTCTTCCAAGATCTGTAGTCATTGTTATGAGATACCTCTTTGCCTTTCTCAACCAGTAAGTATTTGTCTCTCATTTAATTTATTCGCAAAAATTCTATACAGCTGTTACTTACAAGTACCTTGCATAATAGCATAACATACTTTACATAATAAATTCATGACAGACCATCTAGAAGCACTCAACATTGCAAAAACTCTAATAAAATTGACTCAGAGTATATCAAAACTCATTTAGATAACTATCAAATATGTAGGATGTTAGGCATTAGTGTTTTAAATATGTTTTATTTAATTTTCAAGTTGAAAATTTATAGGACAGAAGTGAATTTTAATCAAATCATAACAAGACATACATGCATATAGAATCAAAAAGAATGTCATCATGAGGTATGAATTGTAAATTCTAACCATTTAAGTGGTGCAATGAAGCCCAAATAAGTTAGAGAGTAGAAGGGAGGGAACAGCAGGGGGCAGTGGGAATTGTGCCAAAGCACATTGAACTGAAGTTAAGATAAGAGAGTTGTGTCGTCCTGCGCTTTTGTCAAAGCATAGATAAAACTAACAGAAATATTTCAATTTCAAATTATGTTACAACCTAACTCACTGATGTCATGTTATCCAGCTTGTCAGAATACAGTGATGAGAACATGATGGACCCATACAACTTGGCCATCTGCTTCGGACCTACGCTGGTGCCTGTACCTGAAGACAAGGATCAAGTCCAGTACCAGAACCAGGTCAACGAACTCATCAAGAACATCATCCTGTTCAACGACGAGATCTTCCCCGGACAGGAGATCGGTGGAACGTTGTACGAGAAGTACATCTCACGGGAGCCTGACGACATGTTAGTATCATCCACACAAGCTGTTGTATTGCTTTGGGAATGGGTACTTTGTTATTTGCAAGTTCAATAGTGATAGTAGGAAAAAATTCAAATACAGAATCTCTGTATCTTGATGTTTGCTAATGGCGTTTTGCTATGTCGTGATTGGTGATGGTCAATGTAAGAAATTTTGATTTTTGAGTTAATGAAGGGTCTTAAATCTCAAATGCAAGTTGAACTATTATAAAGTCAATACAGACATGTGGAAGTTATTTACTTGGTTTGTATTTATGGTTATGCGTAGAGGAAATCAGTTCCAATTTAAATATCTCCCTAAAAGCCATACATTTACACTTTTCCCCACAAAAATAGCACTTTTAATAGTTATGTGACTGTAGGGGCTTGCCTGTGGGTGGGGGGGACAAGCGGGACCTCCAGGGCTAAAACTATTTTAATATTAAATTTCAAAAATAAATATTTAGTATGATATTTAGCACTTTTATTTAGCCTAAATCAGCAATATTGAACACATATTTTTCAAAATCCTCTGGCTGGGGGTACTCTATACTTGCCGGGTTCCCCGGAAAGCCCCTAGCCTTATGCCTGACGACCCCTCCCCCCCCAAAATCTTGGGCATGCCTCTGTGTGACTGTTGAATTTCAAAATATCTAAAATCTTTTCTTCAATAGTACATTCCTATTAAAAATTACAACTTTACATGCTAGTAGTTTAGTTTGTTTCATGATAGAAAACAAAACAGAGAGATATAACACGTATCAATGTATTAATTGCAGCCAAACTTTTTTTTACGTTTCTTGGGCATGATAATCTTACCTACATTGGTTATAGCTTTAAGAAATGTGCATTTTCTATTTTTTAAGAGCATCTTTCAAAGTATTTATAGGACTTAGTTAGCTAAATTGGCAAAAAGGTGAATGCCATAGCTCATGCACTTGCTTAACTAACCTGATAATTTTCTTATACTAGTATGTGTGCAGTTAATTGATTCCTTGTTTTGACCAAACTTTACAGTGATGTGGGAGATTCACCATCAGATCATGTTCAAGAAGACATGGACTCTGAAGTCTACCCTTCTGAAGATGGTAAGTTTGTTTCATATTATTTTTTATGAAAAAACCCTTAATTAATTTAATGATTTTGATTTTTTACTGGCTCAGTGTTAAAACCAGTTAGTTACACACTGGTCATCAGGCCATTCAGAGACTGTGAAAGAGTTACAATTACTTAATTGCATGAATACTCTTGGTTGCTGGTAGTGTCAGAAATCAATACCAATACGTTCCGTTGGCAGTATTGAAGCTACACATACAATAATAAGTCCTCGTTTTTATATTTTTCTTTTTAAAAACATTATCAACCATAAAGTGAACCATTGCCGTTCTACAAAGCAATACTTGACATTGAAGGTGGATTTTTCAATACAAGGTAACAATTTTGTGTTTTAGAGTCAGAGACGCTAGAGGCCACAGCACAGTTTGACTTTGTCGCTCGGTCAGATCGAGAGTTGAGCCTACGCAAGGGTGAGACAGTGACGCTCTACTCTCAAGTATCCAATGACTGGTGGCGTGGCTCTGTCAACTCCAAGGAAGGTCTCATTCCCGACAAGTACATCCTGATTAAGATGAAGTAAGAAATCTACTTCTTTATCTCTATCCAAGCATTAACTTGGAAAAGTTTTAATAAGGTGTTATGCAGTTTATTGATTTCTGTTATCTAAAATAAGTTGATAAATGGTGTGTCAGTTTATTACTCGGGCTGTTATCTGGCCAATAAGGTTTTAGTATCTTAAAACTGTGAAGGCGGATTTTCTAGCTGCAGAATACGACTGCATTTTTCAGCACCGACTTGTCACTCAAGTACTGTACAACCATTTTCCTTGCTACCGAATTTGGAAGGGGCTTTCATGAAAAACGCACACATATACAACTTCGCAGTAGTTCTCATCAGCTAGGATAACCCGCCTTTAGGCTTAGTCAAACAGACTAAGATCAGGGTGTATACCAACCGGGAAAACCGGGAGAACCGGGAAATAACCTTGAATTTGAAGGGACCTGGAAAAAACCGGGAAACAGCCGGGATTTTTGGACCGAATCCGGGATTTTTATTTTAGCCCCGGTAGAAGATTGTAGTCGTAAAATGCGTCTTGCCGCGGTTGCGGGCGACGACGATGACGTTTTCGTGACCTCGGGAGACGACGATGACGTTTCCGTGACCGCGGGAGACGGCGATGATATTTACATGGCTGCGGTAAATATTCATGATTTTACCGCGATCGCGTACTTCGACGATTACGTTTCCCTAACCGCTGGAGTCAATGATGATGTCTACACGGCCGTGGAAGATTTTCATGATTTGCCGTGACCGCGAAAGATGACGACGATGATTTCTACGCGGCCGCGTGAAATACTCATGATTTTGCCGCGATTGCGACCTACGACGATGACGTTTCCGTGACCGCGGGAGACGACGATGACGTTTCCGTGACCGCGGGATCAACGATGATTTCTACACGGCCGCCTGAAATACTCATGATTTTGCCGCGAATGCGACCTACGACGATGACGTTTCCGTGACCGCGGGAGACGACGATGACGTTTCCGTGACCGCGGGAGACGACGATGACGTTTCCGTGACCGCGGGAGACACGATGACGTTTCCGTGACCTCGGGAGACGACGGTGACGTTTCCGTGACCGCGGGAGACGGCGATGATGTTTACATGGCTGCGGTAAATATTCATGATTTTACCGCGATCGCGTACTTCGACGATTACGTTTCCCTAACCGCTGGAGTCAACGATGATGTATACACTGCCGAGATCGCGGACGACGACGATGACGTTTCCGTGACCGCGGGAGACGACGATGACGTTTCCGTGACCGCGGAAGACGACGACGACGTTTCCGTGACCGCGGGAGACTGTGAAGGCGACGTTTCCGTGACCGCGGGAGACGACGACGACGTTTCCGTGACCGCGGGAGACGACGATGACATTTCCGTGACCGCGGGGTCAAAGATGATGTATACACTGCCGCGGGAAATATTCATGATTTTGCCGAGATCGCGGACGACGACGATGACGTTTCCGTGACCGCGGGGGACGACGATAACGTTTCCGTGACCGCGGACGACGACGATGACGTTTCCGTGACCGCGGGAGACGACGATGATTATGTCTACACGGCCGCAGATGTTTATGATTTTGCCGAGATCGCGGACGACGGCGATGACGTTTTCATATCAGCGAGAGGCAATGATGATGTCTACACAGCCGCGGAAGATTTTCGTGATTTGCCGTGACCGCGAAAGACGACGATGATGATTTCTAAGAGGCCGCGTGATATGCTCATGATTTTGCCGTGATTGCGGCCGACGACGATGAAGTTTCCGTGACCGCGGGAAACGACGACGACGTTTCCGTGACCGTGGGAGACGACGATGGTGTAGACACGGCTGCAGGAAATATTCATGATTTCACCGAGATCGCGGACGATGACGTTTCCGTGACTGCGGGAGGCTATGATGATGTCCACACGGCCGCGGAAGATATTCGTGATTTGCCGTGACCGCGAAAGACGACGACGATTTTGTCTACACGGCCGCAGATGTTCATGATTTAGCCGCGATCGCGGACAACGATGATGACGTTTACGTGACCGCAGATCAACGATGATGTTTACACTGCCGCGGAAAACATTCATGATTTTGCCGAGATCGCGCACGACAACGATGACGTTCCCGTGACCGTGGGAGTCAATGATGGTGTCTACACGGCCTCAGAACATTTTCGTTATTTTGCCGTGATCGCGGTCGATGACGATGACGTTTACGTGACCGTGGAAGTCAATGATGATGTCCACACGGCCGCGGATGATTTTCGTGATTTTGCCGCAATCTTGGATGACGATGATTACGTTTTCGTGATCGCGAGAGATGGCGATAATGTATACATACCGCAGGAGATGTCCAGGATTTTTCTATGGTAACGTAAGACTGTGATGACGTTTACGTCACCGTGGGAAGCGACCACACGACCGCAGGAAATATTCAGGATTTAGCCGCCGTTGATAATGTGTTCTTAAAAAATGAAGATAATATTCATGATTTTGCTGCTATCGAGAGAGACGATGTTTCCGTGGACTTAAGTAATGATGATAATGAAAATTATTACTATAATATGGATTATTACTTTTTCAACACTAGCTCACTGGACTTTGAAACAAATTTATAAAGTTTATATTGTATACTTGGCTGCAAGTCTTAAATTGATTATAGTTTAAGTGGAACCAAACAAATACGCGGGAACCTGGAAAAACCAGGAAAAAACCTGGAAAAAACCTGGAATTTCACTTTAATAAAATAGTATACACCCTGAAGATAGATTTTTGCCAACAAAGGTGGAATCCTTTGAACACTTGTCCAGCTCTAGCCCAGAGGTCACAATTTCTAGGAAAGGTGACCATAAATCCAAAGGAAATGGGTGTTCTACAGCTGTATGGCAGGTGGACTAGATTGAAGGGTAGGCCTACTACAAAATGTCATAAGGAGTTGTTATTCATCTCTCCCCAAAAAATCTATAAATGGAATTTAATGGTTTTACTAGAGTGTTTATTGATTACAATCGAAGACTTGTCTCTTAAAAATTTCAATCTAAACATTTTGAGAATTAAAACATTTCTGTTGTCTCAGGGATGAAGATCGGGACAAACTTGAACTCTTCAAATCGAGTTCCTCAGAAGAATCAATGAGGAGAAGAGCATCAAGTTCCAATGACTCTGTACTCAGTGGAGCATCGAGTTCGCATTCCCCCCTCCTAGGCGCTAACCCCCCTTGGCCCCCCCTGCTGCCCCCCACGGGACCTCCGCCTGCGTCCCATGAGGTATTGGAGACAACTGTATGATACATCACCCGCAACTTTTATATGTTTTGTACTCAAAGTGTATCAATGTAATTTAGACTTAAGTTTGTGTATTATTCGTGTACAGATAGGAGTTTATGATTAATTGTTCTGTTGAGTGATCTATTGTTGGATGATTTGGTACCCCACTATACATCTGCTGAATTCACCAAACGTTTCAGCATTGTGGTTAGTTTTCTTAGTCAGAAGAAAGTTAAGAGTTTGACCCTCACAAAATTGTTTAGTGTCAGATATTTTTGGAAGTTTAGATTTACTCATTTAAAAAATATTTGTTTAGTATTTCTTTTACTTCGTCTTATCCCATGGGGTACTATTTACACTTGTGTGTGGAATTAAAAATGTGATCTTCAACACATAGTCATATTGTAACAGTGTTGTAAACATAACAATTTTAAAATTTTTTCATTTCATAGAAACAACAGTTTCAATCCTGTCTTCTCAGTTTAATTTCCGCCGTTGTAAGTTAACAAATTGTCTATCATATTAATTTATCCTGTGGATATAATCTAGAATTTTAAATTATTTTCATTTATATTTAGACAACCAAACAAACCTGTAAAAATGTAGGCTTTTTGTAAGCTCCTTTTGTTTGTTTGGTCTTAAAAATTTAGATCAGTGATACTTCAAAACAGTAGAGTCTCTTGCTTTGACACCTCTTGGGTGGGATCTTCCCGACCTATAAAATTCTGATCAGTCATTCAGTTGATGCAAGTTAATTCATCAATAAAATAATAGGTTTCAAAACCCCACATTATGTTTGACAAATTAGCAAATTACAGGATTATAGTAATAATACAGAAGAACACCCTGTCCCCTGAGCTGCTGTCGCGATCAATATATCAATCTCAAATCTTAGACCGGCGCTATGTTCTTTACTTCATTCGCTACAATTCTACTATCCACACATGTGCTGCAATTAGTCTCTTTATGGTAGTTCGGGAGTTCGGAGATCGTTGTAAACATTTGGTCGATACCAAAGTTTTCTCTGGTGGTTTTAAACACCCTGGACAAGCTAGTGATTTTTTCACAACTTTAGTTACCGTCCTGATGAAAACTGATAAACACTCGCTGCAGGCCTTGTTGTTAAACTGTGTAAGGCCTTCTACAAATTCCATCAGCCACTCATGTACATTTTCCACACCTAAAGACTTTTCTGCATACACATGTGTTTAGTGGTAATGGATTTCAATCCCACAAAACCTCTCAGAACACTATTAATACTTGGCAGGAGAGCTGATTTTTAAAATTATTATTATTATTATGTATATCTTTTCCAGTTTCTTTTATAAACATTGTTTGTTAGTCTAAACCCTGTTGTTAGAAAGCATCATTAATAATAGATAGCCCAATGACAAACACAGCTCTGCCAACATTCTCGTTTGGAATCAAAGCAGCAATCTCAAGATTCAAAGGCAAGCACTATAACCACTTGGTTACCCAGACAATTTTTTGACATATTTTTGTTACTATGACGAGACTAACTGTTGCATAGGAGTTGGAAAGGACTGTATATGGTAGTTGGAATTGTAGCAAATGAAGTTAACAATACAGGACTCGTCTCAGATTTGAGCTAGCTGACTTTACCATGATGGGAGCTCGAGGGGAACCTTAATTCACGGTCAACCCTCGTATCTGGCACTAAAGGGCTTCGTTTGATACGCGCAACATATGACTAGTCTGTCTGTTTGCAGTGCAAGAATGTGGAGGGAGGTGGTGAACCTGCCACTCAATGTCTCAGTGCTTCTAGAGTCAGTAATTCTTTATAGTCTTTGTGTCTCTGTGTGCGTCTGTGTGTCTGTGTGTGCGAGCATGCTTCCCCCTCCACATTAAGCACTCCCCTTCCATTATTAGTCTTTGTTGTTCCTCTTTCACAAAACACATTTTTGGAATGATAATGTGATTTTTCAGTTATCAAATTTTGTCCGTAGTGCATGTTTAGGTGGGTGTCACTAAATTTCTTGGTAATTTTTTCCGTTTTTGGATTTTGTAACAGTTAATATCTGATTTGACTTTTTCATCTTTTAGATTTTTGGTATGAAATTGTTAGTTTTTATTTGATCATTTAAGTAGTTAATTTTATGGTGTGTCAAACTATTTTAGTTCATAAACACATTCCAACGTAAATAGTATGTTAGTTATCCCATTTAAAATCATTTAAATATAATAATAAAGATTGAGGGACTAAACGCAATTAATTTTCTACTGAATTTCTTCAGTATTAAAATAAATTAAATTTTTTTTTAAACAAACCAGAGGAACATTATGTTGTTGCTTATGTGGTTTTATTTCTTGCAACGTTGCTTTATGCTTTTAAATTTATGTTTATTAGTTATTTGTTTTTTAAGAAAACTTGAAAACTTTTTGGTGCTAAACTTTTACTATTTGTTTTAAGCTGTGTGTCTATTTTAATTTACAATTTGTAAATATGTTTTGCTTTATTTAATTTTTGTGTGTTTACGTAAAAGCTAAGTTTATTGTTTATGTTGGTGGTTCATACATTACAATATTATGATGATCTCATGTATTCAATAATGTAAATTTTGATATTTTTCTTTAAATTTATAGCTCTTTATTAAATTGATCGTGTTTCAACCGAACATTTTTATATATCACATATATCAACTTTTTATCGAAAAGGTTAAATTTAAACTTATAAATATTTTGTTTTAAAATGTTATAATGTTTATTCCTGCAATACTATTTTTTACCGTGTCTGTTTAAAGGTTTACAAAGGTTATTAGTTTACTGTTTTTTTTATTGGATGTATATTTTAGAAAATTTTTACAAATCATCAGTTTTTGTTTTTTTTTTACATTGCATTATTGTAATCTCAGAACGAATTAAAAAACTAAAATTTCATTTGACTAATTTTCACATTCAATGTTCAGTCATTTGCTAATCAATATTAAGTTATTCCTTACCAGTATTTTGTAAATAGTGTAAAAATAGTTATTTGTGATAGTAGCAAAACACTTTTAATAAACCTCAGTATTCCTAATTGATTTATTTTTAATTTCTCCTTTTAATTTTATTTCCAATAGCTATAATTTGCTAGGTACGATTTAATAGTATTGCGTTACTACTTTGTAACCCATAATTCACTGATGCAATGCAATTTTCTTTGCCTGAGAAACATATTCTTTTTTAGTTTCTTAAGCTGGGTTTTCCTTGGTGCAGAAGAGGAGCTGGAGAGCTTAGTCCTCTGTTAGGATGCTAATGTTATTATTTTTTAGATATATTGGGCATTTTAAGAGCCTGAAAGTTTTTAGTCGCAAACTTTTTGGTTTTAAACCCTAGAAAGGTATCGTCAAACAGTGTGACGCTAAGGGTATCAATACGTAAATTTGGCGTACTGCCGGCCATATACTATACACAAGCCGGCCATTTTTACTATACATAAAGGGTATTTACACGTAAGTTTGACGTATAAGTTCCAAGAAACCGACTAGCAAGGGCATAAAAAAACACACTACAACTCAACCAAGACAGCCATCACAAGGCAAATGACTGTTGAGAACACTGCTGGAAGGAGGGTAGCGTCGGTTGAGAGGGTAGGGGTGAGATGCTAAAAATAACTCGCCCTACGTCAAATTTACCTGTGATACCCATTTAGGGTTAACCTCTAAGAAAACTAGTGAATTTATTTATCTAGAATTAATCTTTTTAGAACTAATTTGTGTCAAATATGTTTTTCTAAATATTTTAATATTTTTGTTTTAAGCTAAAATATTTTATTTCAACTTAATCTCAGTTACTTTGAGTTTAAACTTAGCAATACTTTTGTCTAGTGAGAGTTGTTGTAGTGTTTGTGACTGTATTGTAGTGATCGTTGGTGTGTGCCGCTGTCGGATATGATCTCCGTGAAGGTGAGTGCATGTGTTTGTCTTGGCATGCCCGTAGTCTGTAGTCCTATCACATCCACAGTCTTCTCACCACATCTGCATGGAACTAACCAGTTTTAGTAACTCTTGGTGGCTGCTTTGGGATTTGGTGGTTTTAGTCAATGTGTAATAAGTTTTCTTATTGATACTCTGGCACTTGTGCAACTGGGAGGCTGTTTATTGCTGATCTGTATTTACCTATAAGCTGAGCTAAGTAGCATTATGATGCATAATAATGTATGACTGTTAGAGGTACCAATTACAGTAAAACCCCTTTATCCCCCAAACAGTTAAGCTAAACCCTGCATTGATTTGACTATTTTTAAATAATTCCAATTATACCATTTTTAAAGAACTGCAATTGGAGAATTAGCTTGTTGGCAACAGGAACTGTCCATTGTCGCACGGGTAGTTGGTAACCCCTGTGAAAATAAAGTTCAGAACACTATTATCAATTATTTGTGTAGGGATATTAGTTAAAGGTGTGTTGGGTATCAGGAATTAAAATAATGTAAAACATGACTGGTGTTGGTTTGGAACTGAAATAGCCTTAAAATATCATCCATTGTTCAAATGGAAAAATTGCTATCCAAAATCATCCAGAATTCTTTATTTTACAGTCGAGGTTTTAATGTAATTAATAATCACTAAAAGGACTGTGGAACCGAATGGAAATCAAGATCGATATATGTGAGATTTCTATCCTGACATGAATCAAAATCAAAATCCAGTTTCGGTATTGTATAGACACTGGCCGATGACTCTCATTTACAATATATCGTTGAATTAACAAGTGTAACGAATCATTAATGCTTATTGTAATTGTAATTTAAAGGAAGTTTGAGACATAATCAGAGGTGTAGTGAGTCAGAAAGGCCTTTCCACTCTTTTAGGGGTGAATAGGGGGCATTCTAGTCCTAAATCACCCAATGTTAGTTAGTAAAAATGTTAAACAAGAATAATATCAACTAAAATTAATAATGTAAATATTATGTGTTTAACTGTTTGCTGATAAACCAAATAACATTTTAACCATTAATTCTGAATCAGTCACTTGGTGTTGTAACTAATTGAGAGTCAAATAGGGAGAGGTTTTTTTTTTAATATACCACTGTTAGGACTACAAAATAAACAAATGATATTTATTTGATAAGACCAACAACTAAAATTTTATTTTTAATTTAAAACTGTAAATACTATGCTGAATACATTGGTGAATTTGGTGTACAGATGTATATTTGGGTACTTGGTAATATTCTATGCTTTCTAAAGGTGATAGCTGCAACTAATGACCAGCACAAATCAAAGGATGATTAATTATTTTCTAGATGATTTTCATAAGCTGATTTTTTTTGGTTCAAGTCTAGTATATTCCTTAATGTAATAAGTAAGTAGACAAATTTTTCAACAAAATGTTTTTTAACAGTAAATAGGAAGTGTTGGTTTAGTGCTAACATTATAGACCAGTTTTAGTTATTTTTTGCTCACAGATTTGTAAATTATGCCAAACATATTTTACAAAAATGTATTTTAAATGTAATTTTTTTGTTGGTGATTATTTCTATTAGAGCTCTTGCAGTAGTGTTTTTAACTTCCTTAACTCTTTTATCCCCCACTAACTCCATAAAACTTAATCTATAAACTATGCTAATTATATTTACATATTTTCAGACTGAGAGCTGTAACAGCTTAGACTCTGGGAAAGACTCAGCTAGTGAAGAACAACTCCTAAGAGCAGAGGAAGACGAATCATCCATCAGCCCTCTGCCGAGCGAAGACATCATGGCAAATGAACCCAAGACGATAATGGAGAAGGAACGAGCCAAGAAAACCCACTGGAAAAGTCAAAGTGTCGGGGAAGTTACCCAAAGTGAAAAAGGAGAGAAGAACGGAATAAATGACGAACTTCCTACATTCAGTCAAAACAGAGAGTTGTGGCAACGGAGAGCAAACTCTCAGTCTCATTTGAACCAATCAGCATCCACTGTGGGCAAAGACTTGTGGGAAATGAGACAAAAACATACTCCAGACCTGGTGATGGATCTTCCACTGGTAGGGTCTGCCGAGAGTCCTGGATCAAAATCTACCGGAGGGGAAAGTCCCACGGGACCGGAGAGTCCGGATATGACTACAGCTGCGGAGAGGTTCGCCAAGCAGAACCAGTGTACGCTTAAGAAAAACACCAAGGGCGGTAGTCAGTCGCGGCAGTCGTCATCATCCAGTCAAGACAGTAAAGAAGGAGAAACTAAAGGCGACGCACCTCCTCCCCTCCAGCCTAAACCTCAACTAAAGGCTAAGCCACAGCTGATGCGCAAACCGGTGTTATCCGGTAACCATCCCTCGCCACAACTTGTACGCAAAGACAATACAACCAACTAAACTGTTGTGATGCCTTGTAGTATAGTCGAGATTCGAGTCAAGCGTAATAGGATCGTCGCTCGGGGTATAAGTTATCTAAGTTACTCGAGTGATTGCTTTTGTAGTCGGAGCGTTTTGTACCCGCGGTGCTTAAAACGGTAGCTTAGGCCCTTTTGTACATTCGTTTTTATGTGCTGGGTTGTGATCATATCTGGCAACGAGAATGTAGAAAAATCGCTCCCGTTTTATAAGTAAAGTTTTGTACCAAAGACTGATATTTTTACGATTCGTCAGTATTGTACGTTCGAGCATGGAGTGCTAAGTTTGTTCGAGCAACGATTTCTACCTAATGAAATATAGTTAAGGTCCTAACTTCCTAACTTTAGTGCAGAGTATCGTATTTTTTCATCGTATATTTTGTGTAGACAGATCCATCATCCATGAGTAAAGAAACTTGCCTAATGTAAAAACACTTATCTTGGGGATCGAGACATTAATTATTTCAATGTAAGACCCATCTGCCTGACCCTGTAATACAATACGGTAGTTAAGTTATTCTAATATTTGTTTCATAGTGACATTTATAAAGTTAATGCTTATGAATTAATTCTAAGCTAAAGATACTGCAATAGAAATTTTAATTGAAACCAATTGAATTACTGTTTGATACCAGAATAGTTTCACAGTTTGCAAAAGAAAAATCAAATATTTCATGGTTCTAAACGGTATAAACACAAAGCACGCCTCTTGATCAATTGAAAGAAACCCTGTCAATACATTCTTTGTAAATGCATAAAACAGGTACTGGTTAATCCTAATCATGAATTTTCTACTTCAGTATCTTGAGCCAAACAAACAAGGAACCCTAAGTTTATTTATTGATTGTTGTCAACTATTAATTTGTGCCTTTAGTATAATTTGTGCCTAAACAATAATTATTATTAATTTGAATTAAATAACATTACTTATTAGGTTTATTTTTTTGTAGTTTTGCTCATGATTGAAAACATTTCAATTACTCTTTGAAAATGCTAAAATATCATACAACTTTATGAACATAATTCTGTACCCGTTTTTACAGAATGAAACCATTCTTAGTTCATATTCCATACATGGGTGGCTAAATTTATTGCTTTTTGCTATAAATATTTTATTCTTTAGTTTACTTGTATTTTATGTACGGTACGTAAGAGGTTGTATACGTTTATGGTACTAAATCGATGTGTGTAGTACCAATGATAGTCTAGCGTTATTTGTATTCATGCCAAATCAAATTTGTGTCAAATCATTATAGTATGTTTCATGTAACTTGTGTCACCTACACTTTGTGAGGACGTGAACCAATTGGTCCAAAGAGTAAAATCAAATTAACAACTAAATATGCTGTATTCAATAAGTTGTGTTTATTAAGCAATAGTTTACCAATTTTTTATACATCTAATGTACATTAAGAATATTTTAACAGCAATTTAATATGCCAAATCAATGCCAGTTCATTTGACTATGTTCGGTGTTGTTAAATTCTAGTTATTCATTTACAAAACAAGTTTTCTGAAAATGTAATGTACCTACTAGAAATGCAAACAAACTTTGCAGGAATAGAAAATTGTACAGATTCTTGTAATACTACTGTAATTACTTGAATAATAGTTTTTCATTTTTTTAAATTCGTCCATGGTTGATTTTTTAATTTAACTTTTCAAGCACATTTTAACCACCAGTTCACAATCCATACCTCTCGGGCATTTCATTCATGTCATTTCATCACAATGTAACTGGCTTCCCGAGTATAAGTACAGGGTTAGAACCGTGGCTGTGCAATGATGTGAGGGTAAATGTGTAATTTGTGTATTCGTTTGAATATAATCCCCATCAATGTTGACTAATCTTGAACACCATGTAGATAGTCGCTTATTTCGGTGATGTAAATTTGATGCCAAAACAAATGCCAAATGTTAGTTGATTTTATGTTCAAATGGATAGTAATGGTGAAATAAAATGTACAAATATCATAAATGTAATGCTCAAGCATTAAAAGTATTGTGGCCTAAGGCCGTGGAATCTTGTTTCGCCAGCCCAGAACTTTGGGGTTTGTGAGGTCAGGTCAGACGGCACAAAAGCTATTTTGGTACATCAGGAATTCATCACAATTTAGTGTTTGGTAAAATGTGTCCTTCGTTTTAGTTTATTGATAATTTATTATTTACTTAAGAAGTGATGCCATATGTTTTTAAGTAGGTAACTTATCATTTTTACTTGACAATTTTCATCAACAATTTTTACTCAAAAATGGATATTAAAAGAAGCAAAAAGCTCATTTCCAAAGGTCCGAATCAAAAATATTCTAGAGTAATAAACTAATCTAAGTTCCCTCCATATTTTGTCAAAACATTAATTGTTTTGGCATAATTTATGGCACAAGTTAACGCACATTGTATTTAACAATTATTCCTGTCACAAAATGATCCTTTTTCAACTTTGCAACACCAATTGACTCTGACCTAAAGCTATATGGATCTGCACATAAAATGGGACTCAAGTCCATACATCATACTAAGCTTCTCCATCAAGCTCAAGTCAAGTAGTCCTCACCAGTTTCTCTGAGAAACCTATTTTCTTAAGCGATTGTTAGTAAGTTTTGTATCTTGTCATAGTTTGTAACAAGTAACTACAGTAAAGTTTGTTTGGACGTATTTTGTTACTATGTCAAAAAGTTATACTATAATATTATGCTAGATTAAGGACGTTCAATATAGATGTAATTTTTATGTTTGTTGTTCCTTTTCACATATTTACTTTAGTGTGTATTATATTAGGAATGGCTTTATATAATTACAATTAGTTTTGTAAGTTATGTTGACCAATGTATTATATATACAAAGAAAATATATTTGTCGTATTCAAAATATTCAATTTTTTCACCTGTTGTTTGTGTTATGTTTTCTAATCTATACTATAATAGTAGTTTATGCAACGATTGCGTCAACACTATTTTACATGAGTTACCGGGCTTACAAGCTTACCGGGCGAGTAATGTACGATACTTTACATCATAATACACAGAATAATGAAAACAATTTTTACGCATAATATGCTTTTGAAGTTAGCTGTTTATTTCATCAGCTGACTTAAGTGCACGGTAAAAGTATATAAGTTACTTTTCCGTGTTTAGGCACGTAAAGGTCAATTTTCCAGCCTATCACTGATGGAAAGGTACCTTTTACTGTGTAGTATTATGTAAAATAACTTACACCATTCTTCGATTGGTCCTTTAAAATTATGTAAGTGGTGTTGTGAGAGGAATTGGACAGGTGAAAACAATAAATATTAACCAATATTACAATTTTTAGCTAAGCCTCAGGAGCCGTTGAATTAAGGGGAAAAAAAGAACCTCGTATAACTTTTTTTAAATAATTAAATTCAATATGTATATATATATTTACCTCCATCGTTCTCTTTGAGATTTTTTACAATTAAGTTTTTTTTACCAACTTGGTACAGTTTTTTTATTAAGGAGATATCCAACCGGCTTAGCCTATTTACATTATAGCGCTCAGTACTCAGAATGGCGTATGTTAGTTCCCTATGAATGAATGGTGTCAATACAAATACAAATTGAATTGTGAAAGTTTATGGTCCACTCTGGATTCTCGGAATATAAAATTTATTTGTATGTAAATTATTTTATACAAATAGGAAAATTTGGCTTGAAGAAAAAGATTACAAATAATTGATCTTAACCATATCTATATATATAATATAAAAATATTTCTATAACTCGATAAACAATTTCCTGTCGTGTTAAATAAAAAAAGCTAGGTTTTGTTAAATTGTAATTGTAGGATGCATGGTCCAGCCTCAAGACATATTACAAAAATAATGATGTTGAACATAACTATTATAATTTTTATTTTAGCGAATTTCCCATATAGGGAATACAATATTACCGTAGGTCTCATGGTAAGACCTGGACCTGGGACGGATTTACTTTTTCGTTTTGAGGTCCCCAGAGGCCAATAACACCATCTGTTCAAATTCATATATATATTTATACTAGCTGAGTACCCGTCCTTCGTACGGGGTTGGTATACAATGCTTATTGTAGTTAAATACTCGTGCTTTACATTTGCAATGAGAGAGGACACGTTTTGAGAAAATTTGGTTTAATATAATATACGGTATACTATAGTTTATAGCATATATACCATAGCCATAATGTTCTACCACTTCACCTACACAATAGAAAGAAGTAACGTTCTCACACTCAGGTTTTTGATGCTGCTTGGTTCAAATTAGCTGTTGTCATAATGTATAAAGAACTAATGGTGCTGCACCTTGTTGGTAAACCGTATAACCTTTTAATGCTATTGAATCTCACAGAAACAAATTGTGTAGTTGAAACAGCTGGCAAAATATTTTAATTCCTTTAAATATGAACTAGTGTACCTGTTGCTTGAATTCGAGCAATTGCGAAGCATTACAGGCGTTATTTTAAAACGAATAACAGTCATAATTTCCGATGACTTTATAAGAATTGACTCAAAGATAATGGAAATACTCAAGATGTACACAGCAGTTAGATATAATCAAAATTTTTTGTAAAAATCTTACCTTTTTTAAAAAGCTGACCTTGTTTTTTAGTGTTTTCTACAAATTTTCCCCACTCGTAGCCGCATTAGGTTGTCTATAATAACAATTATAGATGAAAAAAAACCATTATTTCTATTTCTTCTACTGTACTTGGTTGTGTTCTATGACTTTCCTGTTTCCATTGTTTGCAAATCGGCTCTTTCAATTATTGCTCAAGAAATGTAGCAAAGTGTTAATTCAGTTTTATTTTTAGTATATTAAATTGTCCAGTATTTCTCACTTTTTCCATTGTAATTTTAAAAATTACACCAACCAAGTATCGTCAACTACAGATGCAATACGCCAAAGAATATCGTCTACGTGCAATCTCCAAGAAGTGGTAAAAAAGGCAGAAACCAACCCATACAATATATATAAGTTAACTCCATAAGAAATAAGTTTAAGAGTTAGGCCTACTGTGATATTAGGATTTTCCACTGATTTAGAACATTATATTGCAAAACATGGCACGATTTAGAAGAAAATCGATTTTTAAATCAGAAAAAAAACCATTGCAAATACTTCATTTTGACAAATTTAGTAAATCACAATTTAAATATTACAGCTGTTTCATTCAAAAGTAGTCTAAATGTATGCATATGGTCGTAACGTAAACAAATCTGAAGAGGGACAGGGAACTTTAAAGGCCTCTGGGGCAGAGCCCCAACGGAATTTACCATGTTTCTCTTTTGATGGCTCATCTACATACTAAGACCTTTCTTTAGAGACCCCTACCAAGTTTCTACGCCCAGCCGTTCTCTGTAATTAGCCTCGACAAAACCCCGTTTTTCCTCCATAAGAATAACATGGGATGGGAATTTAAAGGCCACTGGGGCAGAGCCCCAAGGGAATTTACCACGTTTCTCATTTGATGGCTCATCTACAGACCAAGACCTTTCTTTAGATACCCCTACCGATTTTCTACACCCAGCCCTTCTCTCAAATTAGCTGTCACAAAGAAAAACAGTTTCAAATTAATATATAGATACTCATAAGGTTAACATGGGAAACATTAGGATAAATGTTGTAACAACATTAAACTCGTCGTAAACAAATCATGTATTTGTGTTCCAAGAAACGTGAGTGGACATACAACTTTCACAAGTCATTGATATTGACACCATTCATAAGTAGGAAACTACCATACGTCACTTCTCAGTAGGGCCTACACCAATGTTGATTAGCATCTTGTCAGTGTTAAAAATATGACTATCCACCTGAACAGTTCAATACAACAAGGTTTCCAAGTAAAAAAGTGGACTGTTGTTTACCAAGGAATGTAAAGTTAATTATTTATCAAATTCAAATCGTTTGGCCTTTGTTAGGTTGGTATCTTTAGGTAGGGATCGTAAAATGAGATTGAGAGGAGTCTTTTTTTATGATCGATTCACTTATGTAGCCTTAGTCTATAACATGTTATAAAATTGAGACGGATTCACTGATAACACGTAAAAAAGACAAACTTCACCGAGTAGTAATAAAGCGAACGCAAGTGCTGGGGTTAGTGAACGATGGAGTGAGATGTGTAGCTTTTGTTATCGATAAGTGTAGCTTTGTTATCGATTTAAGATCTGAAACAGCTGACTATTATTCATTAAACGCCCAACGATAAACGACTATACCTAGCGATTAAATGGTATGGATAATTGACATAAACAAATTACGTCACTGGCCTGAATGCCTTAAGCTGATTTGACAGTTCCATTTAAATATTAATAAATTCGTGTTTACTTTCGGGTCAGTGACATCATTTGTTTCTGTCAATGATCCAATATACCGTTAAACTATATGCGTCCAATATAGAATCAAGAGTACAGTCTGTTCCAATACACCTTTGTTATTGCTTTTTCACAATTATTTTGTACTTCATTGTTAATTATTGCTTTCCTATAGTCATGATTATATTTCCTGTTACCAATGTTGCTCTGATCCTGCCATAGATTTAAGTTAGTTGTTAAGTTTTCTGTTAAAATGCATGTTGTTACCACATAGGCTTCTTGTATCCACATTGTAAATTGGTGATATATGCCGTTGGAATAAATAAATACAGTCAAGTGAGTTAAGATTCGGAGTGGGGCTACATAATACATAAATATAGGCCTAAAGTCTTATATTCAGATACCACAGATGACATAGATGAACGATTGAGGAAGGGGTTTGAGTACCATGTCCATTACATCAGTGTGTACAGTTTACAAAACAAACATAGTTTCGTTGTGAAGGTAAAATAAATAAATTCTCCCTCCGTGTTCTACAATAAATTCATAAGTTGGATAGTTTAAAAATATCTAGTTTCATTTTCCACCTTCGTAATCCTCAGTCCGTCTTACATGGCATATCTAACAACGTCAGATTACTTGAGATCGAGAAGATTTTACTTCGAGAAGCTCGGAATTTTACAAGAATAATGAGGCAAGAAAAAACTATGTGGAATATTTTTCCTACGACCATTCCATGAAAGTGTACAGTCTGTTCCAAGACAAACAGTCTAGTTTCGTTATGAAGCTTAAACCACACACGCGTCCTGTAAAAGTCCTACAACAGATTCATAAGTTCTCCATTCAAGTTTGTTCTCGTTGTTTACTTTGCAACCTTTTGTTGTAGATTTATTTCAAAGTCTCTTTACAAAAACAGTAGAATAAATTATGGTATCTACTTCATAAAGGAATTTAGTTGAACGTAATATCTTTGACTATAGTCAATGGTAATATCAAACACCACGTACCTCATTCCTCCATATTTCATGAGACCGTGAGGAGGTTACAAACCTGAGCTTTTTACAAGTGAAAAGAGAAAAGGCAAGAAGGAACAATCTGTCAAAGTCCTACATGACCAACAACCAAATATTGATGAGGGTTTACGTTTACATACAGTATGTTAAAAAAAGTCTAGTTTTGTCCGAAGCTACGTCCCCGTTTTCATACAATAGATTCTTAAGTTGGAAAGTCTTAAAATGTCAACTTTTATCGTCGATCTTTACAATCCAACTTTTTTCAACGTCCCACCACAAAAACCCAAAGTACAATACTTTGCCTACTCAACAACGGTGAGGCATTGTCACTACTCTACTCACCCCTGTACACACAACGCCCCAGGCCCACTAGTGTACACACCACACACAGGTGACGCAACCCGTGGTGGGAGACTTATATAGTGACCAGCGCTGGTCACACAGACAGACACGATGAGGTCCACGACGACGCTGGTGCTGCTGACGACGCTGGTCGCTGCCAGCTGGGCTGCCAACTCGTACACCAACAAGTTCGACAGCATCGACGTCGACCGCATCCTCAGCAACGACCGCATACTCACACAGTACATCAAGTGTTTGCTGGAGGAGGGCTCGTGCACCAACGAGGGCCGAGAGTTGAAGAGTGAGTATGGTGAACGAGTTTTGGTTAAGGAGTTGTTTTTTCGTGGGTAAAAATTACAGTTGGTTTATCGTCATGGTACGGCTGAAGATTTTAGGACACTGTAGTTTCTGTCTAGTATATTTAGAGACCATCAATGTGGTTAGTGTTAAAAAAAGTTAGTTTGGGGACCGAGCTTTGCTCAGAGAGGTGTTTTTAATTATTTTAAATGTCGTTATGGATCAGCTCAAGAGAATTTCCAGGGAGTTTCTGTATAGAGCATGTGATTTCTGTCACGAGCTCAGTAATTAGTTTGACCGAGCTTTGCTTACCGACTTATTGGGATTTTATCATGAATTAATCATATTTCTTAGATTGTCATGATGGATCAACTAAATATATTTTTCATGTAATTTTTGCCCAGTACAAATATACCGTTGAAAAACAAGCTTAAAATGTATCACAAAATAAAGGAGAAAACATTTAGTCTAAATAATTATTTCAATCAAACCAGGCATGCGAAAACACAACTGTTGTGTTTAGATGATAACAGGCTTCATATTATGAGACAGATCTAAAGTCAGTGGTTGTATATTGAGCACGTTAACGTATGCCACTTAAATCTTTTGTGCTAAGGGATCGGTATAAATAATTGTCTAGTTACTATCTAGTATATAATTAATTTTTAATATTAAGTATAAATATTTAATTAATAGCACAACGAAAACTCATGCTTGCATTCAGAATTTTCACACTTTATAAAATTTTAAAACATCATAGTAACGATCATCAATAATAACATAAATTGCGTTTGTTAGCTTGCCTTTAAGATAGGTATAAGCCGGCGTGTCGTGTGAAGGGGACTTAAAACCAAATGTTCAAGAATATATTACATTTTTTTAATATTTATGTTTTTAAAAATTAGCTAACAACTTAAAATCTAGACTTAAATGGGCATGTCATAACTGTTTATTTGTAAACGCAACTTCAATATAATTAGTTACAGTATCTAAGGTCTTAAACTTCGAACCATAACTAACTGTCTACCAGTGGACTAATTCAATCGATCGCCCAGACCCACCGTTGAAGTCTCCAAACAACGTTTCTACTTGTATTTATTTCACTTTAATTCACACGTTATTTATTTTAATGTATACATTGTAGCATAACACCCTGATCTCTTTTCACTGCAAAACCTCTTCTCCCTCAAAAAGCTATGTTAATGGGAAAATACAAAAAAATTATAAACCCTAGTACTTGGATGATTCAATTTAGTGAGGGGCTGACTCCTAAACAAAATTAATTGTTGAAGGGATTTTAACAGTCAGTAGATTTTTTTCTTACTTAATAAATACCATATTTTGTTATTTGAATGTATTAATTATGTTTTGAACTTAAAATTAAATGCGCAAAAAGATATGTATACATATTTTTTACATCTTATCAGCCTTTAGAAACCGGGAGTCCGGGACAATTAACTCTCTTGAACCCTTTTGGTGTAAATTCAACATTTTGTCACAAAAATGATCGATATGATCAATAAAAACATTTTTTAAACATCATTGACTAATTTTAAATCACTATTCAATCATTTATTTATTTTCACATAACGTTTACAAATCCAGCATAGCTGGGAAACAGGTGAAATGGTCATATACATAAAATACATAAAACTATAATAACTACAAAGTCAAATAAATACATCACCTAAAAATCATTTACTTTATAATTCGCTCTGTCAACCACTAATTTGGGAACTTCTTTCTTGTATTTTTCAAATGATTCTAGCAATTTAATATTTTCAGGCAGTTTATTATACAAATTTTTCCCTAGATATTGTGGAAGGGTTTCAAGTGAGGTAAGTCTGTGAATTTGTTTATTTGCCTAGTAGTTTTTGTTTCAAGCTGCCCATCATGAACCTACCCTAAGTACAGAACCTTCGACTAACAACTGGACATTACATTCACGTGTTAAAGTTGTCACCAGTTTTTAAAATCGAAATCGTCAAAGTAGATGTGAGCCCCCGGCAGACTGCGCTGATCCAAAACAAAGTAAAACTGATGGAATGACTTACGGTGAGCTGTAGCAACTTTTATGACCCACCAACTTGGTCAGCAAAAATAAATGAGGTAAAAATAGAATTTTAGACTCTAGCGCATTCTGTGACTGGCTCACATAACTATGGTCTTTTTAATAAAAAAATTACGACAGCTGGTCCATTTAGACGGGAAGTTTACTTCAGTATCCAATACTATACAACTTTCACCGCTTTGATTGTCTTTTAAACTCGTCTTTACCCATACACATACAACAGCGCAACACTCCCTACCGCTTGCGCATTGCGTAATGTAATCAAAGTGTCAAAGTCAATGACTACATGTATTGACGCCGCTTGCGCCGACCCCTACTGTTTTGTTTGCGCAATAGTTGCTCATGTCTTGCGTATTGCGTCAATTGTGCTTGCTGTCATGCGATCGTATGTTTATCATCACTTAAAAAATCAAAGGTTATCTGCAATTTGTGTTTTTTTAGATCTTCTGTTTTACCTGAAGGTTATTTTGTGATGATTGGGGAAGTAGTTTTTCATTTTCCAGTGAATAGAGGAAATCGTTCTACCTTTCCTTGTTGTATTATTTTTACTTTTTGTTCAAAAAACTTCTGTATACGTCTATACTTTACTTGTGAGAAAACGCAGTTAGAGCACAAACACTACTATCGCTAATTGTCTTCAAGTTTAGGGTTCAAATCCCGTCGATCACCGATGGTTTTCAACCATCTGATAGAACCGTGACTCATCGGCTCGGAACCCTCCTTAGTCTGTTGACCACTCAATCTAGAAAACAAAAAAAGATGAGATTCCCCGACGAGAAACCCTTTCTCTGTATAAATGAAAGGTTATTGTATACCACCCGATGATTAATTACGTGCACTATATACGTATTTCATTGGTCTTTGGCAGTAATGAACTAGCATTGAGGAATTTACAACTAATTAAAATTTGAGTAATGTTCTTAAAATTTTTTTTTTTTTTTTTAAATGCTTTTTGATTTCTGTTGTGTTCACGGTTCCTCAACCAAATAACGTAGCCCTTTGGCTTTCTATTTCCAACTTGATTTATTATTGACAATCGGAAATCGCAAATATTGCAATGAAGCAACTTCCTTGTTTATGTTTCCTAGGTGGCGTTTCCGTAGTAGAACTAAATTCCGCTACATTACATATTGCAATGACTTTGTTTACTTTCTTTAATCGCAGTTACGATAAACCCTCAGCTTTCTATTGCAACACGATCTATATTAAGTCCTTAAACACTTCATAGAAGTTTTACCTTGTTTGCTAAACTATATCTTTAGTGTATCAACTTAATCGTATTTTAGTAAGATTTTTTAAATCAAATTTTTGGTTGACATACAAAAACAGATCTGACATTGTATCTTGTATCGTTCTAGTGAAGGACATAACTGGTTTATAACCTTTAATATTAACACGTAATGAGCAATTAGATTTTTTTCAAAAACCATTTTATTTAATTAATTTAAAAGTGTAGTTTTCATCTATCTATTGCTTTCAAATGCACAACAGTGGCGTTTTTTACAGAAGCGCGAGGAAACATTAGAGAAATTATAATAACTCGACCTAATAGATTAAGCGATTGATTTGTAATCCATGTTGATAAGGTGGAGACAATTAAGTAATCGACTTTTACAATACCAAAGAACTTTTTCCTGAGTAACAAGGGCTGTCCAAGAAGTTGAATCTAGATTTTCTGCCGAAAAATATTCTAGGGTTCCAAGAAGTGTTTTGTTGTTAAGCACATTTAATCTCGGGAAGCTGTAAACCCAGTCACCGGGAAGCAGAAATGTTGATAGGCTACATTTATAGAATAGATCGTAAACTATCTGTAGAAGGATTGGCTTGAATCTCCATTCAAAACAGACCTATCTTGTTTACATTCTCGCTTTATTTCCCAATAAACTTTCTGGAGATGCCCCACGTGTCCGTCAAGGTTAGTCTTGGTCCTCTGGGTAGGTTGTTTCATCACTTCCAGAACGTCTTCCTCGGCTAGTCCTGGGTACACCCTCCACCTCCCGCTCGCCTTGGACCCTCGGACCCAGTCAGGACTCAGGAGGTCGGTAACCTGAAACTTTCACTCTTGTTGACGATTTATGATAATTCCACGGAGCCGGATTGTGTTGTTGTGGTTTGCTGAAGCTCGTATGTAGTCCAACGAGGTTGTTAGTAGGTTTTGAGTTATTACCGTACTATACTTGTTGTTGATTTATTGCAAACTCGATCAAATGTTTTATTATTTGAACACTAAGACCTCATGGAATTGATGGAATACAATGGTTGAATAACTATTGAAACGATGGGAATATTTGTTATTTGTATCTGACAACATGAGAAACGTTTTTACGAGATTAAAATCCCTAATATTTTTAGTATCTATGGTAGACCTGTTACCACAGCCACGCAGTGTGTTTCATAACAACAATAACAATAATAATAACAATTCGCAACCTTCTGATTTGATCGTGAGCACGTTAGCATCTCTGTAGTGTGTTTGTGAAATGATTACAATTTCAGTATGATGTCACACGATTGATGTTGTGTTCTAGTTTGGTAATGTTAGGTGAATGAGGCAAATCCTTATGTAGCTCACCTAGCTTATGATGATTCTCTGAAAGATAACATGGATTTACCTTAAAAAATGAGCTTCTAGGTATACGTAGTTGGTAAGGGGGTGGATATGTACACATATGTACAACCATTATAGATCATTTAAATATTATATAACACCTAGTAATCAGAAGATTACCAGTTTCAGAAGCTACTGAGCTTTTCTCGATTACCGGGCTTCAATGGTACTGACAAAAAACAATCTGGTCCCAAGACAGTAGCAAAGCTACTCTTCTACACTTATCCTTTATCTCTTATCCATGTTTAAACATGCAGCAAAGGGTTCCTGTTTCTAATTCAAAATGAGGACGATTTAAGTTCTATGTTTTTTTTTACATCATTTT